GGTTTCTAGCATTATAAGTCCGCAGACATAACGCTGTGCCACTGGGGGGCTTCGAAAAGAGAAGGGGTCCATGATTGCATATACCCCTCCCCTCATTTTTATATCTATGATCTAGTTTTATTATCTATGACTTTAACTCATTCAACAATGCTTTTTGTACGCTTCACCGTGCACAGTTTCGTTATATTGTACTTTTGTATTATTTTCGGTTACTATAATTTAAAATCAGTTTTGTAACCTGTGACGTTCGTAGACCCCTGAATAAGGCGTAAGCCTGAACGTTAGGTAAAATAAATAAACATTTATATGAAGTTGTTTGTCGTTTTCATTGAAAATAGTTTCCATATTTCAGTCAACACTGAAAGTTTTGAAGAATGATAAAACATTGTTGAATGTTGATTTAAATTTTAAATACTAAAACTTTTTCCAACGTTAAAACTTGTATACTTGAGAATGATCGCACCAGTGATCGAAACGTCGTACCTGTTTTAAAAATATTCTTCCTTACTGTAAAAGCTGTAACCTGTAATAAAATAGTATTAAAACTCATTTGTTGCAGTGGAAGTAACGAATCAAAGAATTTTACGTTTTGATAGAGAAAATATATTAAGAGAGTGTTAAAATTCTTCTTCTTCTTCTTCTTTTTTTTTGGTGTGAAAGTCTTTTCTACTCTGGCGGACAGAGTGTGGTTGAAATTTGTTCTATGGTCTGCTTCGGAACTCCTGTATTGTATTGTTAAAAATATAATGGGCTTAATACTACGACAAGCATAATTAAATGCTAAAATTCTTTAAAAAATGGAAAACTTGTAGTTAGACTTAGAGCAACTATTGATTATGCTCACGTGTTGCGGAGCAACAGTAGCACATTTTATTTTTATTACTATTTTTGCTATTAGTATTAGGCTTAGTGAAGTTAGTGTGGGAGTTTTTACTCACTTTTACTAGTTTTATTTTTAGTGTAAAGAGTAAGTAGACTAAAGTTCGTCTACTTCCATCGTCATTGGTAATGGTATAAAACTTGTATTATTTCCAGTCATGTAGTGACAATAACTCTCCAGGGCAGTAGGCTGTAATTCAACTAAATTAAACATTTCATTTTCAGTATAACAACAACTTAAATATAACGCTTACATTTTGTGTGACGTACTTAGACTAAGAAGATAACAAAATTAACATTAGCCTGATTAGGATCTAACACTAATAGTAACACTGATAGTAAAATCAACATTTACTGATTTCCTCTGAATCTGCAGCTCACTAAGGTGACTGTGACAGGAATATCAACATGTAATACCAAGTATTTGTATATTTCTAAATATTATATGCATATATATATATATTATATTACTGTTGACTTAAACTTAAAGCTTTGTAATAGATGAAAAATTTCATTAAAGAAGTTTGCCTTGTTATGCAAACTTGGTAATATGAATTTAACTTAAATGATAAGTGGGAAAATAATTTACATAACCAAAATCTCATTTTTAGTCTCTTTAAAATTTTGCCTTCAGACATTTAAGATGTGTGTTACTTGTAACTGGATTGTTTATATTCTAATATTATTTGCATGTTCTGTGTTACTGAGTTTACATGATGTAAGTCTTAGATTAACATTTCTTGTTTAGCTGATAAATTTCTTTAGAAACTTTGTAGTCTTTCAGATTTCCAGCCATGTTGCAACTATGTAGGATCAAAGTACCTGTTTTTGTGTGGTTTTGCCCTTACCATGGACACCAGGTGGCATACTTGTTAACCTGTTTTAACTGTAACTCAGCTAAGTATGTAGTACAAAGAACATGTGTTAAAAGTTACTCTATTTTAAACACTCAAAAATCCTCCTTATTAGGTTATTGGTATAAAGACAGTGACCAATACAGGTGGAGTGGTCTAGACTTGCATGTGTATATTGCTAGGAAAATATATATAGATTTTACTTTACATGAAAAAGAATCATCTAAAGTTGAAAGTTCTGTCAAAGTACTCAGACAGGAGGTGGAAAAAGCTAAGCAAGAAATTGGAGTTTTTATCACTCCAGATAAATCTACCTATGTAGCACCTCCAAAACGTTCTGTGTGGAAGAAAATAGGAGATGGTATCCTTCACTATTACCATGGTTTCAGGCTTTTATATATTGATATTAAAGTATCTTCTAGACTTGCTTGGAAATTACTTCATGGAAAGGAAATGACTCGGCGAGAACATAGACAGGTTAGTTGGATGTTAATGTACTAGAAACAATGCTTTCAATTTTCTTATGTCATATTATCATTTATTTAAATAAAATGTTTTCATTTTTGTACATCAGATGTATAGTTCTTGACATTTATTAAATATTTGTAGGAATACATTTAGAAGTCAAAGCTGGTTGTAGAGTTTGGGTTATACTTTCAGTTCTTTTAAGTTCTAATATACCTAATATGGGCAGTAGGAAATGATGTTATGTATAGTATTATTTTATTAGTGACAGGAATGTAAAGTTTGTTGTATTTTCCTGCTGTTAATCAAGGTTAGCAAGGGAAATGTTGCATATTAATTATATCATTCAAGGTTTTCAGTTTGATGGCATGTTGTGTTCATTATTCTACCTACTGTTCAACGAGTTTATAAAGCTCAAATTCATGAAATCAAAGTTTCTTTAGAGGGGGGGGGGGATGTTTAAAAGGTTCTGCCAGTAATTGTGGCAAGGAAAGAGATTGGAAAGGAGTGAAGACATCAAGTGAAGAAGCAGTTCACTTGAAATATAAATACTGGTAATACTTCATACATGCTCAACATTTTTTACTAACCTTGAGTGATGAACAGTCAGCAGTAAAGTTATTTTCAACTATCAGCCTTAATTCAGGTGGTTGAAGTAACAAGTAAGACAGTTTGGACACCCTTCTAGAAAACAGAAGCATTTGAGGCAAGATTTTGCTCTCTAAATATACAAGTAGCCCCTTCTACCATAATGTAACAAGTGAAACAAAATTGTAACCTGAACTATTTATTTTAGAAAATCAAAATTTTTAAAAAGCAGATTATTTGAAAAGCAAGTGAATAATGTATTTTAATTTTCCTCTATTACAAAAAATGGCAGGTTTTTATAGGGTTAGATTCTTTACAGTAGGTGTCTGTGACTTGTTGGCAATCAGTTTCAACAATAAATGGACAGCACACAATTCACTTGTTTTAAAATAATATATCAAAAACAAGTCCAACATATGTACAAAAATTTGTTACACTACATCACAGTTGTATCCAGAGTTTTAGATAATTGTCTCCTTTTCCTCAAAGTCCAAACAGGCAGGTTCAGTTAGTTTAGAACACCCTTTGACAAGACAAATTATTCTCCTCTATCTCTGTTATTACAATACAAGCTGTGAAACTCTCTTTAGAAATCACCATCATATGCTCTTTATGGCTAAGCTCCCAATTATGTAGTATAACTTCACTTTCACTAACTTAATCACCTATATATGTATGTGTCTAGGTATATATTGCCTGACTGAATTTTAAAACTTTCTACAAACTACAAGTTGTTATCATATAACAATACACACTTAAAAAAACGTGAGAAATTCTAAAGGTTTGAATAATATTACGTCAATTCACAACAGTTGAATTACACAACAAATGATTCATAAACAATTATGTAAGCAAAACCTGTGATAAATTATCACTTCTAAAACACTAAGTTTAACACTTGCACTTTATAACTATCTAAATCATAACTCCTGTATTAAATTTAAATGAAACAGTCGTGTATTTATAAAAAAATTTGATTTTAATGTTTGAGCATAACAAATTATAATTGAATTTGATCTTTTTGGGAATAGATTCCAACACCTACTAGCAACAGAAGAGAAATTGCTCAGGCTATAGTTTCCTAGTTCCTCTCTGTTCTTTTTCTTTTTAAACATGAGATTCAAATTTGCAGTTATCCAATTATCAGGAATTTTTTCAGCTATTTTCTTTGCTAAGCTTATACAAAAATTTTGGATAAACTTCAATATACATATTATCATAGTACATGTAAAGAACTTCTTTGATATAGATGTAAACTGATTTGTAATAATATTTAATTTCCAAGGAATAACAAGGCACCGTTGGGCTTATCTGGGCTGTTCTATTTTCTGCTACTGTCCTGCTCCAAACTACATATATAAACCCCCAACTCTTTTTTTTTCTAAAATACTCACAGGAAGGCAGTTAATTATTTTGATATGTCAACTATCTTGCTTTAACAGGCATCACATTTTAATTTTGCATATCTTAAACTTGTGTCCTTTAATTGTATTGCCTGCAGAGTTATTATGGAAAGATCTGGATTTAGGATTCTATTCTCAATCACATCATACATGGACAATAAGAGACTATTTCATTCTTCAAGGTTTTCATTGCACATCCACCCTTAAGAAAATGTAAAAACTTAAACCCACCAATTTTTTGTAAGGAAATTATTGATTCCTTTTTTAAACTCAAGAGCCATCCTCCAAAATTGCTGATGATTGTTAAATCTGTAAGTCAGTCACGCTGTTAGAAAATCAACTGTCATAAGCAGAACCTAACTTATCTTTCCCAATTTTTAAACTTGTGTTCTCTCATCTTGTTATCTTCAGAATATAGTACAGAGAAATTGAAAACCTTTATCTATCCACCCATGCCTCTGTACACACAAATAATCATATAAACTTCAGTAAAATCACTTCTTACCTCTCTTTTCTTAAGAAAAGATAAGTTGAGAGATCTTAACCTATCCTTATAAGATTAATCTTCCAGCTTCAGAATCATCCTGTTAAAACCTTTCCAACTGTACATAGTACTCCAAGTGAAGCCTTACAAGTGACTTTTATAAAGAGAAATTATTTCTTTTCACTTGTAATCAGTGTTTGTAATTACACCCTAAAATTGTATAAGCTTTGTTATTAAGAACAGATGTCTAACTTGAAGATTTGACTTGAGTAACGTTTTACACTGAACTTCAACAACTCAACATCTATAATAAGGTGACCACAAACACAGTATTCTAAATGAAGTGCAGTCAGTATCAATAAGTGACATTCCATATATGTATACAACTCAAAATTATGTTCAGCTTATGACTAGCTGATGCACATTGTTTAGAATACTTTAGAGATTTTGTAATAGCTGTATCAAGGTGAGAGTTCCTCATTGATTTTACCTAGTTTCTGCTAGCAAGACCATGTCTTTATTACTTTTATTAAGATTAAGAATCATATGCCAAGTGTTAACTCAGCTCACCAAACAATTCAAATCTCTGTAAAACTATCAAGAAGTTGAGTAAGTCACCATCTACTTGCATCTCAGGAAATTTGTATAACATCATTGGTTCAAAATGATAATATCAGATGAAAACAGATATACTTGTATTAATCTTAAGTACATGATTGTTTGACCTTTTGGGTTTTTTTATTCTGAGATTACTCAAATGGAAGGAATGGCAAGCTTTCAATTAACTTGATGTTATTGTCATAATTCTCTGTGAGAGATAAATTTAAATTGTGACATGATTTGGATTCTAGTAACAATGAACTTTATTAACAGATTATAATTGAAAACATATTGGATTGCTAACATTTTATAATACCTTTTTTAAATACATTTACATTATTAAAAGCTTTTTATTTTGTATTGAATTTTAGCTCGTTCGTACAGTTTCTGATGTTTTCCGCATTGTTCCATTTTCTGTGTTTATCATTGTGCCTTTTATGGAACTGTTATTACCGGTAGCCATAAAACTCTTTCCTGGTATGCTTCCATCAACTTTTGAAACTTCTTCAGAAAGGGTAAGATTGAAATTTTTACTCATGTAACTTATGTGATTCTTATTATATTATTTCTCCCTATTTTGGATACAACTAGTGATACCAATTCTATTGCACTTGTTTTCAAACATTGAATATTTGTATTAAATAAATTGTCATAAAAATTTCCAGATAAAACATATCAAAATTAACTTTTAATTAAAAAAATCATAACTTTCCACTGCTTTGAATGTAGAGCACTAACAAGCATGTTTAGATTCAATTCTGTTTAGTATACCTGACTTTCTGTTGATCTGAAAAATGATAAAGGATTGCCTTCCACTGTATTTCTTTTACTTTAGGAAATGCCTAAAATATATATAAAAAAAAGGGGTATGCAGTCAAATTTTTTTAAATAATAGGTTTATATTTTAGAATATGGTTTATGTTTCTATAAAGTATTCTATTTAAACCAATTCAATGAATAGCTAGGTTTTATATATATATGGTATTGGCTTTATTAAGTGTGTGATTTAATAGTGAAGATACGTTGACTAAATATCCAGTTTATGAATGAACTTTTTAGGTAGTCCCATTGACACTTTTAACTTTATTTTGGGTTCTTGTTTAATTATTGTATAAGATTTACTTTATGATATAACAGGAAGTTAAAGTGAAGAAACAGCTTAAGATCAAGTTGGAGATGGCCAAGTTTCTGCAGAAAACTATGGATGAAATGGCTCTTCATGCTCGAGGTGACAAACACTCTCACTCTGCCAAAGAATTTGCCCAGTTTTTTGACAAGGTAAAGAACAGTTTAAAAGCCAAGTTGCCCTTTTACATATCTGAATGATTAACCCTCTAACTACGGGTCTTCCTATGGTCATGGGTCAAAGAACATGTCATCACGTTTATACTTACATTAAACATTTTATTGAACTACTATTTTATGAATGTATGTGAATAAGTTTGGTATCAAATTGTAGATTATAATTCAAATTTTAGTATTATGCATTAGTTAATTTCTTAATTTACAAGTTAATATTAAAAAAATCGTAAGTATTGATTTTTTGTGTGTCACATGGTATGTTGGATGCAGCTTTTCTTACAAATTATGTTTGTGATGCCTAAATACAAAGTCTATAGTTTCTTATGAATTAAAAACTCATATTACTAATACTACTAATTACAAGCTAGAATATAAAATCAGAACCTTCTATCTTTTCTATTTGTTGAGATATCATTATATTTAACGAATCATATATAGTGGCCCCGCCTGCTTCTTCCATTTTTGGAAATACTTCCTTACATGTAGCCGCTTTGCTAAGTCCTGGTTTTATAACCAACCAAAAGCACAGAACTTCCCCTATGTGGTTTTCTCAAACTATTGAAGGTGGAAAATTCCCAAGATTATTTCTTTTGTTTCGAATCTCGGAAGGAAGGAAGGGGTAAGTGAAAATGTTGTTCCAAATACCATATGTTTTTAGACCCGAATACAGTATAGTTATTATTGGATTTCTGTAGTATTGATATAGTAATTTGTGATTTTTTATTATTTTGAAATCTATATATGAAATATAAAAAAATTACTTTGTTTTACATCCTCCATGTGCAAAATTTGACAAGGCTTAGCAAATTATGGCAAGCAGCAAACGAGTACAAAGTTCGTAAGTAAAAGGGATCATGGTTTTCTATACCTCTTTGTTTACTGTTCAATGTTTTAAGAAAAATAACTGAAATTTAAGAACTTATTTGTAAATAGTAATAATGTGTATACATAAGTAATGTATTGTAACCAAAATATGATTGTATTTTACTAAATGCTGATCCACTAGAACAAAGCCAAGACAGGTCACTTTGTAAAGGCCAGTTTTATACTATTGGACACAATAACATGAGTGTGCCACATCATTGCAATTTCTGTAATGTTATTCAGATGCAGCTGAAAGGTCAATAAAATGAAAATAAAAAGTTTATACAGATGGATAATTTTATGAGATTTAAGCTATTTAGACTAAACATATGTGGTTTCTTTTTATAATTTATAGTCATTCTAGAATGAAAAAATCATAATTTATACCTATTTCCTAATTTTTATGGTGGTTATGAGGTTGGTCAAATTGACTAAACCCATAGAGATAGAATAGTGAAAATAACAGATAAAATATAGAATAGTAATCTTAAAATCAAAATTACTCTGCATGTTGGACAGTCAAGTTCAAAAAGAAAAAATATACAAGCCAATTATTACTTAAAAAATCTTAAAACTTAATAAAAAAAATCTCATCTTTTGTATACAAAAGCCTTGTAATGTTTACTGATAATCTGCAAAATGTCATGAAGATATGCTAACTGTATTAAAAGTTATAGTACGGAAACTATAACAAGCCCAAAATGGTTATGAGGTCGGGGGGACTGAGCCTGTAGTGAGAGAGTTAATTACATTATTAATTGGTGTAATAGTGTGTAGCTAAGAGCTTTTAATAATTTTGATAGTTTTTGTTCTCTTGAAGCATTAACCCTTTTGCCCTGGGTATCCTATAATGCGCATGACAGAAGGTTTTAATGTCTTACATTCAAAATTTTATTAAACTACTTTTTATTTATGTTATACCAATTAGTATAGCATGAAAGTTTAGCTTGTAACCCATATCTTAATAGCATATATGTTTTAGGTTCTTAATTTGATAAGGCTAAATTAAAAAAATCCTGAATTTCTCCTAGTATGACTCACGTGACACATTTTCTCTTGGTATCTTCTCTATTTCATCTACTCCCCCCCCCCAAGAAACTATGAAATTAAATGTAAATTACTCACTATAAAATTGTTATTGCTCAGACAAACCATAATTTTTATAGCCTTCAATTTGTTTTGGCAATGGATGCATTACATCAGGATGGGACAGGATTACAACTCTAGGCCTTCCCCCCGATTCATATGTTACCCAAGATACTAACTATGTTTTGTTCCAACCCATTGTTGGAGCCTGTTGATAGCACCTAATTGGTAGCTACACTGTGGTTTCTGCTTCTGTGATATCTTCAGGAGTGTTCACCTCTTCCACTTCTTCTTAGGCCATGTCTGAGGAGACAGCCATGAATTGATAAGGTTCACCCAGCTATCAAAAGCTCCAGCTTCAGGCATATAGGTAATGCAGTCTTTCATAAGGCATCAGAGTTTAATTTCAAAAGTTGGCTTGTATCTGTATCAGTTTTTTTTTGCTTAGTTCCACGATAGACATTTCTCAACGGAAATGGCACATATATCTGCAATAATGTATTGAGAGGAGATTGAATCCACTTCGGTGAGAAGTGCTGACCATGACCCTTTTTTTTTCTGGCTCTTTGACAAGGGTTTTTGCACCTTCCATAATCACCCTTTATACAGCAGCCTTATCAGTTACCAATCGATACTAGCAACTAAATATTCTTTGAGTCCCCAGTACTCTTTGAGTTCCTCAGGTTACTTGGGGTCCTTTGTCCCAAACAACCATTCCAGTTACCAATCTGAAGTATTAAGGTTACATGCCCTTTCTCTACACCTGTTTGTGTCTTGGATCTCGTATATCCTGTATCACCTCTACATAAAAGTTTATTTTTCATTGCAGCTAACCTTCAGACATAGTCAGTAGAAGGTGTTTGCACTGTTTGTCCACATACCGCTTTATCATTCTACCGATGTCCTCAAACCAGTTCTTCTTACCCAAGTCATTCAGACAGGGAAAGGGATTAATCCTTTTCACCAATTCATCTGATTACTATTTCTCACTTTTATGACTGATCAGATTTTGATTGTTGTCACGTACAGTGAGTATCTTGAAGGTTTTGTTCTGTGCACTAATGCCTTTCAAGATGTTAGATGACGACTTTTTATTCTGGGCTCTCTTTGAAGTTGAGAAATCTTCTGCAAGTCATGTCTCATCAGATTAGTCGTATGTCCTTAGTGGCATGGTTGAATTGCCCATTGGAGGGCATTGTGCGGACTGGTATGTGGACCTCCCCCAATACTTTTATCTCACATTATTTGCATGATCTGGCAGTATCCTCATCTGATGGTTTTTCACCTACCCCCTGTAGCTATTTTAACCACTTCAGCTAGATTTTACAGAAGGGTGAGTATTTTCATTGCTATCTTTCAGAGTCCCTTACTTCATTTTCACAGGATCCCAGGTGTGATTTTATCAACCCAATTCTGCACTAGCAACCACTGTTTTAATATACTTTATACAGGTTGCAACAGGCTCTGTAGAAATGAGGTGTTGCATAAGACCACCTTGGAGCTGACCAGGTGGTATTACTGTACTGTACTGGACTGCTACTTGTGGACTATCATGAGTGAAGCATAAGGGGATCCTGCTCATCCCTGCCAATCATTGGATTGAATAAATGGGTGTCAGTTTGGTTTTAAAAATTTAGGGAACTTGGTTCACCTATTGCACTGTTCCTCAGGGCTCCCCAAAGCACATTACCTCCCAGTTTCTATTAGTGGAGCTAGGGAGTCCTTACCACACTCATTTTCCAGTCACTGGGGTGGTGGACAGAGGCTTTTCCTCCAGAGTGTTTGAGTTAATTCCTCCACTCTTGGAGAAGAGGGTGAAGTTGGGGGCCCTCCTACCTGTGTTCCTGGATGTTTTTCCCAGATGTTGGTAGGAGTGGGAGCCTACTAATAATACTGGTTCAGATTTGATACTCTGCTATCCGTTTGGGGTGTACATAGCCCTTCTGTTTGATCAATGTAGATTTAGTACATTGTTCATGGAAGAGGGTCCACTACGTCATCCTAATTCTGAACACAGAGTGATCCCATCCTGGGTCCTTTGTTGAGTATAGGTGTTCCACGTCATCCCCATAATTCTGGGGGGAAGTGGAATGCTCCTTGCTACTTGGTTGAGGAGTGTGGATGAATGTTCATAATTCCAGACTGGGTGAGTTCTGTTTTTTTAGTTGAGTAAGGCATACACGATCTTATCATTATCCCGAGCCTGGAGTGTTACCTTTTGGGCTTCTTTAGTAATGAGATTAAAGCCATTTAGACTAAACATTTGTGGTTTGTATTATAATTTGTAGTAATTCTATAACAAAAAATGCTTAATTTATTTCTTTCCTTTTTTTTATGGTTCTTTTTTCTGGACCTGAAAGTTTTCAAACCAAAATACCTACCAAGGAATTTTGCTTTGCTTTTTTTCCATGGACCCCCCAAGATTGTGATATGCCGTCAAATCGGTGAGCAGCTTTGTTCACTGCTTTGGTGCTCACTAGCGTAGGTCCTTTAGGATAGCGCAATAAAGTGGAGGTACCTTAGCTGCGACAGCCTTGCAAAGGCTATGAACTGCCTGGAACACATCATCTTGAACACACAGTGCTTGATTTGTATACACAATACATACACACACACATACATGTACACACTGCTTGTTAGGCATGATAGGCTATACATGTTGTATACATCGTACACCAGCGCAGCTATCACACGTTTTCAAGCTAAACATTTGTTTCATGGGCATTCATAGTGATAATGTTGGTGGAATGTACATGACTGATCAGTGTTTCTATCTTTGGGAAGGTCCATTCATGATTTGTCATAAGTTCTGCTCGGTTAAAAAATGCTTAGATCAGTTTATGTGGAGTCAAACTTTCGATTGCCTTTTTTTGTATTTTAAGGGGCCACGCAAGCTACTTAGCAGACATTTTTTTTATGGGCCCATCGGCATTTTGGGGGGGGGGCACTGGCTCCTGGCCCCCTTTAGTTTCAAGCCCTGTTCTATAATCTAAATATCCTGTCATACCAGTCAATTTAAATTTCTTAAATTTGTGATGCTTTTCTTTAATTTTATCTCTTATACCCTCTGTGAGCAAACCTGGTTTGCTACTTGCAGCTATCCTTTTCTTTCTATAAGGAATATGTTTGTCTTGAATATTTAAAGCCTTATTCTTAACAATTTTCCACGTTTGATCAGAGTCTCCAGATAACTAAGCTGCCCAATTTACAACAGAAATTCATCTTCTACAGTTAATAAAGAGGCTGAAACTAACTAGACTCAAGGAATTTTTTTCATAATAACTAAAATTAAGCATGCCACAGCATGTGTAAATTTTGATCCTATGGTGATTCTATCATCTTGATCATAAATAAAACCATTAAGCATAAAATGTAAATCTTTTATGGAAAATATATATCAGCTTGGAAAACTAAACTATATCAGAAGAAACAAATACTAAATCAGTGTGTAATATAATGCACTGGAATTTTAGTGTAAAGATTCAATGTTGGAACTAGCAGGATTCACATTATCATGATCTTCAAATTTTATTACTATGTTTTCACTCTCAGTATGATCTTTCACTGTAAATTTGTTACATATATGATCTTGAAGAAATTTCACAACTTGTGATTATAACTATTATGGTATTTCCCGACTTGCGGATTTACCTCAGAGCAGTCAGTTAGAGCAAGTTAACTGGAGGCTCAAGGATTTCCAAGCTGTGAAGCATTCTCTTCCCTTAACTCAAATCAGTTTCCTTGTGCAAAAAGAGAGAGACAGGAAACAAAGGCAGAAGTGTGTAAATGTTTATTAAATACAAATAATACAATACTTAACAAAACAAAAGGGCAGGTGTATCCATTAGATGTGTTGAACTGACATGTGTGAGAAACCTTTATTAGTTTCTCTTACCAGTTAATTTAATCCTCTCTTTAACTTTCTCAACACCGGCTCAGTCAATTTGACAGACCATGTAACCTCTTTGTACTTATTTAAAGTATTTATAGATTTAATACTTCTAACTTTCAATATAGTATGTATATCTTCACAAAATTTGGCAGTCTTTTGGTTAATAGTCTTTAACATACAAAAAAATCATATTTTTTAGTAAAGTATTTTTAATAAAATAAAGATTTGTTCATGAATATATTGAGTATTTGTTTTGAATAGTCCTTGTGCAAAGTAATTTTCATGTTCAAATTAAAAATACTTTTCCTCATCTCAAAAATCTCAAATTTCCTTTGTGTAATCCCTAAAACCTCCTAAATGCATTTCAAAAGTTTTTTTTTCAGTAAAACTTTATAGTTTATCTGTTATTTTCTCTACTATATCTCAAGATGGAATCGATTAATTCGACTAACCTCGTAACCACCAAAAAGAAAAAAAAATTAAATAAATCTAAATTACCCTTTCTGTCTTTCTAGAATGACTTCAAATTGTAACATGAAACTACATTCAATTAACCCAAGTAGCTCTAAGTTTGTAACAGTATACATCTATTTATAATTAAATTTTATTGTTTTATTGCCCTTTGAACTGTGTCTAACTACTATTCGTGCCATTATAAGTTGTAAATCACTTGGAGAATGTGCAGCTCACGTTACGTAGCAAATTACATTACCCATGAGCTGCTTGCGGTGTGCCTCATGAAACATTTTCATTAGAATATTATTATTATTTATTCTACCTAATCTAATCTTAACTAATCTAAAAGGAACCCTATTTTTACATTTTATAATTAGACATAAAGAATAAACATGAAAAAACAAGAAATGGAATACTTAACCAATCATCTTTTTTTCTTGCTGTCTTTTGTTGAAGAGTGTTAACCCTAATTTTTTTATACTAATGATAGTAATGCACTTAATAATTTTTATTTAATTAAATAATGCACCAAAGAATATAGACTAATAACATGTAAAAAGTAGACAAATTCTTTTACCTCTCAGAATTTTTCTGACTTTCTAACTATGTGACAACAGTCATTATAAATTCATTCAAGCTAGTCATTAACTTTCTCACAGGAACGATGTTGGTACTCTGAGTGAAACTGACATTTAACTGTTCAGAACATAATGTTATAAAATACATCATTTGATAGATGAAAACATTGACTTTCTACCAGTTATAAGTAATATATAATTAAATGTAAGAGAGAACTATTAACGGACTCTGAAAGAGGCGTTGCAAGAGGGATCTGATTTTCTATTCACTAGCTCTGTAACCAAACAAAATTGAAGACTATAAAAATTATGGTTTGTCTGAGCAAGGACAATTTTATACAGTAATTTACATTTAATTTCGTACTTTTTCTATGGGTGGTGCATAAAATAGGGAAGGTGACATGCAAAGAGAAAATGTGTCGCATATGTCACAGTAGGGGAAATTCAGGATTTTTTTAGTATTGCCTTGTAGAATTAAAAACTTAAAATTTGTATATTATTAAAATATGAATTATTAGCTAAGATTTTATTCTATTCTAATTGCTATAACATAAACAAAAATCTTGTGTCATGTGCAGTAAAGGATATCTGTGGCAATAGGTTTAAGTTAAACTACAGATAAATAAATCTAGAGAAATGTACATAAAAATAACCCAGACAAGTAACTAACTGTAAATGAAATAAAGTCCAAGTTAAGCTTGCATTTTACTAAAACTTAATCAAATGCTTCACTTCTAGTTAAGCCTAACAAAGTCTCACTCCTTCAAAACTCAGAGTCTGCAATGATCCAAAGTTATATTTGCTTAAAGTATACAGTATATCTTAAATCCACAAAAACTCTAAAAGCTCCTGAAGCTTTAAAATTTAAATTTTAAAATGAGATGCTAATCAAATCCTGTGTTTTTGAAGTGTGCTAAAATCTCTAGCTCCCAGGGCAAACCTAGCCTTTTATGTAAAAGAAAAACTACACACACAGGCAAGTGTGCTTCTATTTCCATAGTCAGACAGCTAAACATGTCCTAGTAGTATATTATGTGCAAAGGGCATGATAATCCCTAGCTATTATACGATTCACATACAAAAACACAACAACTCTCTCTGGCCAAATTGCATGTTAGCTTTCTTGCAAGAAAATGTAGATAACAGCAAATTATGAACACACTGCATTCTAGTGAAAGGGGAAGCTAGGTAACTTACTCGAACACCTCACTGTGTCCAAACTGTGAATGATAAATGCAATAATTTAGATTATTTATACATGCTAACTAAGAGTATAAAACACATTACAGTTCTGTACTACCCTGTCAATATTGATACTTTTTGTCTTATGAGACAATCTGATTCAAGAATTTTGGGTATACTGCACTATTATCTTCTAATATCACATTGGGGAAAAAAATACCATACAGATGGTATTATATGGTTGACACCAAAGAAGATATGAAGACATTTGAAACCAATTTAATTCTTGTTCATTTCAAAGTAATGGTTAGATATTAAACTGTTTTAAATGAAAAACTTTATAGTTGCTTTTACTCTGTCCTGTATGAATAACCTTATTCTTTAACCAGTTACCCAAGTGTGGTCATTATTTATTTTGCATTATAACTAGTATTTTGTTGTTAATTATTTTCATTTGTGTACATGAGTTTTGTCATCGAAGTTAACCATCTCCTTAAAAAGAATTGTATCTTACAACATTAAAAATTGGGATAAGAGCTAGTTTAGAGACTTGTTATACCATTGATTTGTAGCACAATTGATTTGTGGTTTTACAGATTCAAAAGTCAGCAGAACAACCCACAATAGAAGAAATAATGAAATTTTCTAAGTTGTTTGAAGATGAAATTACTTTGGATAGTCTTCAGCGCCCTCAGTTGGTTGCTCTTTGTCGTTTATTGGAGCTCCAGCCAATTGGAACAAACAATTTTCTGCGGTTTCAGCTGAAAATGCAATTGCGCATGCTAAATGCGGATGATCAGGTATGATAAATGTTCTTTAGGTAATAAAACTCTCAGTAGTATTAGTTATCAAAAAATCTTGTGTTTTAATTGTATTGTTATTGTTTTGCATACAAGAGTTAGTATCTTAATCTTCATGTCTTTTCTGTTATCTGTTACAGCAGTATTTACAGTGCCCTTACTAGTTATATCAGCTAGGCATTTACCATAGTCATATTGATGAACTAATGATTGATGCATCCTTTTTAATACTAATTAGATTATGAGTTAAAATGCAGTATTCTGTAGTTAGTCAACCTGAAAATGGTGACTGTCAAGAATGGGTGACCAGTAAAGGTTTCATCTGGTGATCTAATATCATAACCAGGGGGCAGATTAAGGTGGAAGGTATTGTGGCTATAGACCCAGGCTTAGACTCAAAATAGGCCTGTTATAAAAAAAAAGACTAGTCTTAATTGTTTTTTAGGTAAATATTTAATAAAAATTATTTGACTGAATCTACTTATTTTTGAAGAGGAAGAGTTTTTGTGTGATGTGGGTAGGCTTATCATCCAATGAAGAATGCAGAGATTTGATTGGCTTGCCTCAGAATAATGTGACTAGGTGTAACCAAGCATTGTTAATTAGAGGATATAGAATAAAAGTCATCCAAGTAAAAAAAAAATTTAAATTTTTGAGTTAAGTACAGAAAATGATATGCAATCATTTGCTAGAAACTATTAAGTAGCTCGTTCTGTCATCTTTCTCTCTCACAAACACACAAGCACTCAAATACACACACATACAAGTATGCTTATATGTGCACACACACACATATTATTCATTAAATGTTCATGTTATCTAGTATACAGATGTGTAAACGTGAGTGGTTGGGAAAAGCTAAAGTCAAAGAAAGAGGAAGAAATAAATTAGAGAAAATTGTAGCTAAAACTAGGAAGCTAACAGCTTTATGGACTTTGTCCTCTAGTGCCAAAACCCTCACCAGCCAATACAGTAGAAACAAAAATGTAGACACTAAACCTCTTGATGCTGATGACCATCACCATCATCAAATTGAATTGAGCCCACACCAATAGGAAGAAATTATTGTAATGGTGATGAAGATACTGACCCATTCTTTACATTTGACATTGGGATATGGACACAAGTTTCTGATGAAATGGTAGATTTTTTTTGTGCATTAAAGGTTACTTCTTGCCAGTGCATGAATGCAGATTTCAGTGCATCTACATAATCGATGCTGGGTGACAAGTTTAAATGCCAGTGCTCAAAGACTTCTCTTATCACAAGCAGTTGAATGGAGAAAAAGTTAAAAGAGACTGGCTTTGCTACTCACCATTGAAGAGGAATGTCTTTTTTGTTATATGAAAACTGTTTTCAAAAGCATTGGAATCTTCTTCACAAACAACAACTGGTTACTCTGACTGGAAGCATACTGCAAGGGATTTTAGTTGACATGAAACAACCTTGCTGCATCAGAGTTGCATCACCAAATTTGTTATTCGTAAAATCAAAAATGGACAAATCAACAAGACTTTAACAGAGCAGATGGAGTCAGAGAAGAAATATTGGCACCAAGTTCTTTAGTGCATTCTCTCAATCATACGGTTTCTATTATCCAGAGGAAGCAATGAAGTAGTTGGTTCAGTTCACCTTGTCAATTACTTGGGAATACTGAAACTATTGGCTGAGTAAGATGCATTTTTTGCTGAACACATTCAGAAATGTGCAAATAAAGAAAATATCATGTTTTATACTTATCCTCAACTCTCTGTGATGAATTTATAGAAATCTTACCCAAAGAAGTTCTCACTGCCATTATCCAGGAAATCAAAACATCCAAATTACTCAGTGTCTGTTGATTCTATTCCAGACATATGCCATACAGATCAACTGACAATAATATTTATATACGTTCTAGATGATGTTTCTGTAGAGATATTTGCCACAATCCTATCTGTAAGCAATCACACAGGAGCAGAACTTGTTAGAGTTCTCATTAATTTCTTTGGAAAGAATGCTATAAGAATTCAAGATTGCCTTGGGCAGTTTTACAACAATGCATCCAATATTAGTGGCATGCAAGCCTTGATCAAAGAGAAGAACCCCTTAGCAGACGATGTTCTTTGTTGTGCTCATTCACTCAATTTGGTTGGACAATGTGCTGTGAACTGCCATACTGAAACTTGTTTGTGTTTTTCTCAGCTTCAACCTGTCTGTGGAAGTGCTTATACAATGTGCTTGAAAAACTAGGGTTTCCAACGATAAAGAGGTTATCAGACATAAGGTGAAGTACCCATCCAGAAGCAATGCAAATCTTAAAAAATGGGGTACAACGCCATAATACGAGTCCTCGCTTCCTTTACAGGTGATGACTCTGAAAAGCCTCAAGTGTGTCTAGAGTCAAGAAGCCTTATGCTACAATTGGAACAACTAGAAACAAGTATAATGATAGAATTATGGAGCATTATCCTGGGGAGGTTTAATAAGACAAGTCTTTCATTACAAAACTCCCAAATGGATGTCAGTACAACTTCTCATCTGCTAAAATTTCTCAAGATATTCATGCAGGAATTATAAGATTATTTTTTCCGAATATGAAAAAGGGTAAACAACTGTGAGGATGTGAGATATATAAGATCAAAAGATAAATGAAAAGAAATACGTGATAGGATGAAGGGGATGCTGAGGACTGATTTTTCACCCTCTACTCAATATGAATTTCACACTTTCTTAGTAATAATTGATAAACTGTCACTTGCACTACACACCACAATAGTGGAATATGAAAATGTCAGTTGGACATTTGGGTTCCTACGAAACTTAGAGTTCATGCCTACAAAGGAGCTCTACAGTGTCACAAAAAGCTGATTTGTACATATCCTATGGACTTGGAGAGTTGCATAGAGGAAGAAATTGTTAAATTTGCCACTCTTTGCAAGGAAGGGTTCGTGGTAAAACCATCAGAATTCAAGGAACAAAGTATGCTGAGAATGATATGCAACTAATCTTTGAAATCTACTTTCCCAAATGTTCTGATAATATCATGGATATACTAGTGCCTCATATCAAGCAATTGATCAAAAGAAAGATCATTCTTGATGATAAAAAAGGATAAAGAATAAACTTCGATTAACAATGGACCAAGATAGACTAAATGCACTTGCACTTTTGTGCTCAGAAGAGGACTTGTTAAAATTGCTTGGCATCAAACAGATCATATATGCCTTTGCTATAAAAAGAGAAAGGAAGACATTAGGTTAACTAAGTACCCATAATATGTTCCGCTACTACTACTGCTGGGCATACGTTGTGTGTTCCAATGTGATCTAAGCATGTGTGTGTGTTTGTGTTGTTGTTTTTTGTGCATTTAACCAAGTACCCATAACATGATCTGCTACTACTGCTGAGCATACATTGTGTGTACCAATGTGATCTAAACATGTGTGTGTGTGTGTGTGTTCGTGCTTTTGTTGTTGTTTTTTGAGCATGTGCTCATAAATGTGTGAGTTGTGGAGTTTGTGTGTATTTGGTTTATTTTTATCTATATGCTTTGTTGTCCAAATGCAAATTTTATCTGTATTAGAGCACCACTTTCCCTCTTCAAGAAACATCTAATATTGTTCATTAACTTATAGAAGAGTCTTGCAAATCTTTGGGTATTATTTTCCCATTGTCTCCAGAAGTAAAACATATCTTGAGGTTTAGTTTTTTAAATCTTAGTCTTTATTCATGATCATAATAGACCTGGTAGAAAAATTTAGCCCCAGGCCTGTTGACCCTTAATTTGCCCTTGATCATAACCCTTCATGCTGAGAAATTGCTCCTTATGTTAGCCCAGCAGCCAAAACTCAGTCAGCTATTCAATACATTTTTGTTATTGCATTTTGATGGAACTTTAAAGATATAGGAGCTATTTTATAGGGGTTTCCAAAGCATTTTTCTCATGGCTTACCAGTTTTATGTTTTATCATTGAGCTTAGAGTAAACAAATACCTTTCTCCTAAATTTCCTACTTTCAAGCTGTTTATTTCTTGATAATCATATTTTAATGGTTGTTTTAATACAAGTTTGTAACTTGTTATATTTAGCAAGGTATTAAAATGATAAAAAAGGACAAATAAAAAAAACTGGTATAGAATGGATGGAGGGAGAAAGTGTACAAGGACAGGGATTCCCAAACTGGTGGTCACAGACACCCAGAGGGCCAAAGGAAGGTGTCAGGAGTGTCATAGCAAATACAAAATACTGTTAAGGTAATCAGTATCTTTAAATTCATTGGGTAGGGTAGAATGCATTGGTCAGTATACAGAATATTCTGGGAAGTCTTAGGCGGAAAAAGTTTGGGAGCCTCTGTATTAGGAACCCAGATTGTTAAAAAGAAAATTGATATGTTATCTCTTAGATGATCAAGAAGGAAGGGATAGAGACTTTGACAGTATCTGAACTGCAGTCGGCATGTAGGGCAAGAGGAATGAGGGCACTTGGGGTTCCAGAACCTCGTTTACGGTCAAACTTAGGACAGTGGTTGGAACTTCATTTAAATGAACGTATACCACCATCTCTTCTGCTTCTATCTCGAGTCTTATACCTTCCTGAAAATCTCCCTGCAACTGATCAACTGAAAGCAACCTTGTCTTACTTGCCTGATGAAGCTGTAGGTTTATGTATTTTGTTTCCATTTTTGATTTTAGTTAAGCACAATTTTTCTATGTGTGAGTTGAAGCTTATATAGCAAAATATGATTAATTTATGTTAAATATTTCTGTTGATATTGTTCCTGTGCACGTAATTATTGTTATGCAGCCATACAAATGAACTTTAGTACTGCCTCTAAATACTATGTCATTTTAAATTTAACTTTGGTAGGTATCAAATAACTATTTTTCTTTGTAACAGTTTGAAGTTGAATTGGTAGTACAAATTAAGTGAGCTACATGTCAAAATCAGGTAGTTGAGTTGAGTCTTAAAAAAAATGGAAGATCGATATTTCATGTGCATCATATGATTGTCTTGAACTGTAAGCTTTGTAATGAACAGGGTATGTTTTTAATTGGTAATTAAAATTAATTGATGACTATGGTGACTGCTAGTATAAGATTAGATTTATATAAAATAAAGCACAGTAAAACTTAGTGATTTAGTCAGTATAATCAATTACCTATGAACAGCAATTACATTAATTACTGTCTTGTAAACTAATTGATTAATCAAAATTATGAATTATTAATGACCATCAAGAAAATAGTCAACTAATTGAAATTAGTGTTTCCAGTTACTACTGTTTTTGATATTTTCAAGAATCAACTGAAATTATGGTTAAATCAATTGTCATGAAAATAATCAAAATCAGTTGTTACTGTTATTACTATTTTTGGTTATTCCAAGAATTGACTAATCAAAATTATGATTACAAGTTTGGAGATGTCTTGAATAGGTAATGAAGAAAATTTTATTATTGATGTTCAACATTTCAATAAGGTTATGTCATACTAGGTAAGAGTAGTTTACATAGACACAGGAATATATGTATACAGTATGGAACAAAGAGGTCACATGGCAGGGGATTGCTTAACGATTTAGTAAAGGTATCTTGGTACCCCAGGGTGTTGGTTTAGAGTTTTGTTCAATTAAGATAGCTTCCTTTATCTTTCATTCAGTGATGTTTGGTTGTTTGTTTAAAATTAGTTTTCTATCAATATACTGCAATTGATTATTTACTATTTTGGATTATTGCAACTATCCAAGTAATAAAAATATTGCAATTATGTTTGTTGTTAAGCACAAAGCTGCATAATGGGTGTGTGTGTGGCAATGCCTCTTGAGGGTTTTGGGTTCAGTTCCCATTGCCACTAAACTTGCTTGCTCTGTTTTTGTTGTTTCAAAGATACTAAGTTTATCTGCCACTGCCACTAATTTTCAATCTGCAGGTCGCGGGTTCGAATCCCCATCACACCAAACATGCTCGCCCTTTCAGCCGTGGGAGCTTATAATGTGACGGTCAATCCCACTATTTGTTGGTGAAAGAGTAGCCCAAGAGTTGGCGGTGGGTGGTGATGACTAGCTGCCTTCCCTCTAGTCTTACACTGCTAAATTTGGGACGGCTAGTGCAGATAGCCTCGTGTAGCCTTCCGCAAAATTAAAAAAACAAACAAACAAACAATTTTCAATTACTGAAAAGGGAGAAGGCAACTGGCTGTCAGCACCTACCATCAACTCTCTGGCTACTTAAGTGTTAAATAAAGAATAAATTTACCAATTTTTTACATTATATTATGTTTCTAACTTATAAATCTATAATTATTCTTTAATGTTGTGTAAGCAGGTGGAAATCTAGGGGGGTATAGACCCCCTGTCTGTTTTTGTTTTAAAAATTAATAATTATTTGATGTTGTACAAACATGTGCATATCTGGAAGAGGGGTGTTTTGCATCTTTTAATTTCTTTTTGAAGTAATAGCTGATATTCTTTAACTCTTTAGCAATGGGTAATTCAGGGTGTGCATGTCACAACTTTTTACAGGGTTATATTCAAAATTTAATTAAACTACTTTATAATATAATATGAATAAACTTGAAATCAAAATATAGTTAATAAATCAAATTTTAATATTATATAAATTTTAAGTTCTTAATTTTATAAGGAAATATTTTAAAAATCTTCAATCTCCCCTAATATGAGAATTGTGACATTTGCTCTCTAGGTCTTCCCCTCTTCTCTAATATATTTACCACTCTTCAGAGAAGTATAGACTTTAATTTAAATTACTTATAATAATATATAGATTACTCAGTCAAAACATAATTTTTATATCCATCAATTTTACTTATTTATGGAATCATAAATTAGAAAATCAGACCCACTTGCCACACTCACCTGTCACATCCCCTCTTTCACAAATTGCCAATAGTTTTCTCAGACATTTTATGTTATATTATTTATAACCAATAGAAAGCCAGAATTTTAATATATCAAATGACATTTAATATTACATGATTTTTTCCACAGAGAATTGTCTATATTGCCACCAGTTCTATACTTCATTCTCACAGGAATCAAAATGACAAGCTTAAATGAATTTCTAAAGGCTCTTATTGCAGTTAAAAAGCATAAAAATTATGATAGTTATAGGCCATTTTTTGCCTTTTGCATGTTATTATTCTATTTTTAGGTGCATTACTTAATTCAATAATATAGTACCAATAATACAAAAAATTGGACTTAACTCTTTCAACACGGGCTTGGTCAATTTGACCGACCACGTAACCTCTTTGCACTCGATTAGAGTCTTTGTAGATTTAATATTTCTAACTTTAAATATAGTGTGTATATCTTCACAAAATTTGGCAGTCTTTCATTTCATTTTATAAGTCTTTCACATATAAAAAATCATATTTTTTTTTAAAGAAGTATTTTTAATAAAATAAAATAAAGATTTGTCCATTAATATATTGAGTATTTGTTTTGAATAGTCTGTGTGCAAAGTAATTTTCATGTGAGAATTAAAAATACTTTTCCTCATCTCAAAAAGTTCAAATTTTCTTTGTGTAATCCCTAAAACATCCTAAATACATTTCAAACATTTTTTTTCAGTAAAACTTTATAGTTTATCTGTTATTTTCTCCACCCTATTTCAAAACAGAATTGGTCAATTAGACCGACCTTGTAACTACCAAAAAATCAAAATCAAAATAAACCTAAATTACCCATTTTTTTCTCTTTATAGAATGACTTCAAATTGTAACATGTAACTACATTTGTTTATCCTAAGTAGCTCTAAGTTTGTAACAGTATACATCTATTTATAAGTAATTATTACCAAATGAATTTTATTCTAAACATTTGCTAATAAGGAAGGGTTTTATTTCTTTGCCCTAACTATATGAAGTTTTCAATTTCACTGACCTCATAATCACCTAAAAAAAAAATTAAATAAGTTAAAAAGCCATAGAATTTATGATAGTTATTTGACATTGTTTGCTTTTTGCATGTTATTATTCTGTATTGTTAGATACATTATATAATTCAATAAAAAAATTTTTATTTCTGTTGTACCGGTAATATAAAAAATTAGATTTAAGTTTCATCAACAGTCAACAGCAAAAAATAAGAAGATCCAGGTAAATATTATATTTCTTGTTTTTCATGTGTATTCTTTCTTTTTTTTCCTTCTTTTTACTTCTTTAATTACTGTTCTATGTTTTAAGAAAAATAAGTTTAAGAACTTATTTTAAAATAGCAATAATCTGTATACATATATAATGTATTATAATTGAAATGTTACTGTATTTTACAAAATACTAGTCTACTAAAATACAGCCAAGATAAGTTACTTTGCACAGACAAAAGGTCAGTTTTATGTTATTTGGTAAGGTAACATGAGTGCATGTAAGCCGTGTTATTGTAACTTCTTTATTGTTAGCCAGGCACGGCTGAAAGGTCAATATAATAAAAATAATAAATATATAAAATATATAGTGTTATGAGATTTAAGCTATTTATTAGTCTAAACATTTATATTTTCATGTTATAATCTGTGTTCATTCTAGAATGAAAGAGGCATAATTTGTTTATTTCCTAATTTTTATGGTGGTTGCAAGATCGTTCAAATCTGCCAAACCCATAAAGAGATTAATTACTGAAAATAACAGATAAAATATTAAGTTTTTTCTTAAGAAATGTTTGATGACTATCCGATATTAAAAAGATTTCGCGTATGAAAATTTTCTGATGCATAAAAGTATTTTTATCTTAAAATAAAAATTATGTTGCATGATAGATAGGCAAGATGTGAAAAGAAAAAAAGGCATTAGAAAAACATTGTTTTACAAACTTTACAACTTAATAAAAAAAAATTTATATTTTGCATATGAAAGCATTGTAACATTTACTGATGATCTCCAAAATTTTTTTAACATTCGCTTACTAATTTAAAAGTTATAGCATGAAAACTATAACAAAATGGTTACGAGGTCGTCACATTGGCTGAACCCGTATTGAAAGAGTTAACATGGGTTTTTCTATTGCTTACATGAACATAGACTTAAGTTTCCTTCATCAGGTTACTAGTTCCCTCCTTACATTAACATGGGTTTAAGTGTCCATCATCAGCTTACTAGTTCCCTCCTTACATTAACATGGGTTTAAGTGTCCATCATCAGCTTACAAGTTACCATGCTTACATTAACATTTTGCATGTTTCCTTACATACATTAATATGGGTTTAAGTTTCTTACACTGATACTACATGATATCTGGCTTACTTTAATATGGGTTCAAGTTGACCACATCAAATTTGAAGTTAACATGTTTACATTCACATGGGTTTAACTCTCTCAACATGGGCTTGGTCAAATTGACCAACCATGGGATCACTTTGTACTCATTTAAAGTCATTATAATTTTGATACTAAGTTTTAATATAATATGAATATCTTCACAAAATGTGGTAGATTTTCAGTAAACATTGTAAATCTTTCACATACAAAAAATCACATTATTAGTGATGTATTTTTAATAAACTAAAAAAAGTATTTGTTTTTAGTAGTTCAAGTGCAAAGTGATTTTCTTGTTAAGATTAAAAATACTTCATCTCAAAAATCTCAAATTTCATTTGCATAATCTCTGAAACCTTCTAAATACAATTCAAACATTTGTTTTCAGTAGAACTTTATACCTTATCTATTATTTTCTCTACCCTAAACCTATACAATGTTGGTCATTTTGAATGACCTAGTAACCACCAAAAAAAATTGAAATAAAACCCTTTTTTCTTTCTAGAATGACTTCATATTGTATCATGAAACTGCATTTGTTTTTCCTAAGTAACTTTAAACTTGTAACAGTATGCATCTATTTATATTTAAATTTTACTGTTTGATTGCCCTTTGAACTGTGTCTAACTACATGCCATTAGAAGTTGTAAATCACTTGGAAAATCTAGAGCTCATGTTATGCAACTGAATTACATTACCCACGAGCTACTGCAAGCTGCTCGCGTGCATACCTCATGAAACATTTTTATTATATTATTAACATTATTTATTTCACTTAATTTAACTTTAACTAACCTAAAGAGATTCCTATTTTTACATTCTAGTTACTTTTATAATAATACACATGAAAAACGAAATAAAGTACTACCCTGGTCTTCTTTTTGTTGTTGACTGTCTGTGACACTAAACTCTTAATTTTTTCTATACTAATGGTAGTAATGTGCTAAATAATTTTTATTGAATTAAATAATTCACCAAATAACATAGATTAATAACATGCAAAAAGCAAACAATGTCTCATAACTATAACAGTTTTTCTAACTTTATAACTATGTGACAAGAGCCGTTACAAATTCATCCAAGCTATTCAACGTGTTTCCTGTGGAAACGAAGCTTGTACTAAAAGAGAAATTGACAATTCTTTGTTCAGGAAACAATGTAATATAATACGTCATTTGATAGATGAAAACCTTGGCTTTCTTTTGGCTATAAATAATATATTATTAAATCTAAGAGAGAACTATTAACAAATAGGTGGGTGCAGCAAGAAGGGTCTAATTTTCTATTTGACGGATCTGTAACCAAACAAAATTCAAGGTTATAAAAATTATGGTTTGTCTGAATAGTGACGATTTTATAGTGAGTAATTTACATTGAATTTTATACTTATTGGAGGGCTGGTGAATGAATTAGAAAAGAGGAGATACCTAGAGAAAAAATAGCATTTCTCACACTAGGAGAAATTCTGGATTTTTTTAAATATTGCATTATATGATTAAGAGCTTAAAACTTATATGCTATTAAAATATGGATTTATTAGCTACAATTTTATGCTATACTAATTATTATAGTATAAACAAAAAGTAGTTTAATTAAAGTTTGAATGTAAGTCACTAAGAACCTTGTACATGCACAGTAAAGAATGCTGGTGCAGAAATGGTTAAGGTGACCATGCTCAGATTGTATGTTCTCTTGCTTACATTATAATAAGTGTAAGTTTCCATACAAGAATATGGAAATTTCTTTCAAAACAGAAATGTTTTTATTCAGTCTGTGAATATATTTACTGATCAGTTACATATTTCAGTGAAAGATGTTTGAGAATCCAGACTGTTATGTCGTGTTTTCTGGAAAGATTGAATAACTTCAATAATGCATTAGCTGTCAAACAAACTTATGCCAACAATGCCAATGAATGAAGATTCATTCAACAAAATGCAAGAGAAATGCCATTAGCAAATCCTTAATATCTGTGTGGAAGTTTAATGTATTATAATACAAGAGAGTGGAATATTGAACCTTTTGCAACCAATATTGCATACAATCACAAAGCATAAAAGTGACAAGCCAATACTAAGGTAGTCCCTTTCTTCAAGAAGATGAAGTAACATTATGAAGAACTCTAAGGTAATAACTTTTCTCCGTAACTAAAGAAGCGTGTTTGATTGCAAGATTTTCCAGCTGTTGAAGTATTTACTTTAATCTTGTCCAAGTACTGGGGTTAAGACATGAGACAAGATAGGCAAACTGAAACCATTGGTATGATTAAAGACAGTAGTTTGGCATAACCCCATTCATTGTTTATTTCTTCTTGTTTGTTTGGTCACAACTTACATAGTAGGAAAGCTATATGAAAGTCAGGTAGCATCACTTCATCTTTAACATAATGCTAAGGAATTTATAAGTCAACAAGTTTCTAGAGTTGCTTTGAGAGTTGAGCTTTCCATTCTAAGTGCAGACATAATTGAAAGGAATCCAAATAATTCAATAGAAGAAGAAAAAAAGGAGCTTCTAACATAGTGGAATGGACAACTAAACTTGAATAACATATATTTATGTTGTGCTTACAGAAATAACAGTGACATTATAAACAGTATGAAAATGACCATAAGACTTTAGGTAAAATTGCTATATTTGCTCAAATTTTTGCATTACAGCCTTTTTGGGAGTGTCCTATACAAATTTAAGTTTAAATGATTGTACTAGGTTTAGGCTAATTTAACTACACCTGAGCAGTTTTAAAGTAGTTTCTTCTACATAAGAATAAAACTCTTGACAGATTGTTCTATATATTTTACCATTTAAGTACATTCTGCTTTATAATTGTTGCTGTTTAGGCAGATGTGGCATGCATCTAACAATATTTTAAGCCAAGTGGTATAATAATTTTTTTTTACCAGTTACAAAAAAATCCAGTTCTCATAATTGGCAAGTAAACTTAGTTCTGTAATATTCTCTACTCCAAGCTATCAAAACTAATTTCAAGACTGGAGGGGAGGGCTAGAATTATGTACCTTATTATCATATTCACTATTTTAGGCTACTAAAGCTAAATTCAAGATTGGAGAGAAAGAGGGAAAAGTTGACAACAAAACCAAGATTGAAGTCATCGAAAAGGAAGAAGTAGCCATAAAGAAAGAAATTGAAGAAATGAAAAAGGAAGAAGAAGAGGTAGGTTTGTTCAAGTAGGTTGTATGGACAGAAAATAAATGTTAACAGTTTATGGATAACATTTTGGATGGTCTTAGATTATCATATTTATTCTTTTTCTTTGAATCATGTTATATGCACACACTGTATATTATTATTTGATATGTGGAATTTTAGTTTTATGTTAATTTTGAAGCCTTTTTTTTCTCTTTATAAAGAGATAGAGGTATTAGATATTAGTTCTGTATAAATATCTCATTAGTTTTGTAATTTAGGATATGAAGTTGTGGGTATGGCTATAGTTATACAATTTTAGAATTGTGATTTTTGAGTTATGAATTTTTTTTACTTGTAGAGTAAAGTTTAAAAGAGTGTGCATTTTATTGTTGAAGGTTGAAACAAAAATAGTTTAAAACGTGTAATTTATGCTGTTATTAGAATTTTAAATTGAATTAATTAAATACTAGCTTGTAATCTCTGTAGAAAGAGCATGAAGCAAAAGCACGTATAACAGCTCTTCCATCTAAGAAACATATGGAAATGGATGAACCAGTGGCTTTCGATGCCCAAGGTGTTCAAGGTATACCTGAGGAAGCTGCACCAGTTCTTAGTGGTCAAGAAAAACCTAGCTTGGTAGATGTTATTCAAGATACTAGTCCAGTATTTGATACAAGAGAAGAAGAATGTAAGTATTATTTTATGGGTGATTTAGACAAAATATTCATGTGATAAACAAACAAGGTGAAATGGGCAGCAGTTGTCTATTCTGAAATTAATACTTAACTATGCACATAGAATAGCTTCTTTCCTCTTGAGTTCTTGCATTCTGCCAAAGAGATTTGCAAGCCACTAGCTAATTTTAGATGAAACCACGTGAATTTGAGCCACTACATAATGATGTCATCATGAAACAGAACCTTCCACCGACAGGAGTGCCAAACACACCTCAATGAGCAATGAATTCCTCTACACTTGCATTTGTGAGTCCCCATTATTTTCTTTGGCAATGCACTGACATATTTTGAGTTTGGTAAGATTTGTGACTTTTTAATTTTCAAATTTTACTTGGTTGAGTTTAATTATACTCAATATTAATTGATAGTGTAGTTTAAATTCTTTTTTTTGCTGATGTGAGTGAAGAACTTACTCACATTGAACAAATTACAAACAATTTGGTTGAAAGTTTTTTATCTATGGAAGACGTGAGAACCATTGTCCATTGTGTGGTGGGGTCCATTGTAATAACAGCCATGCCCCTTTGCTTTTGCCCCTTCCACTCACTTCCTTTCCCCTACTTTTGAGACTGAAGTTGAGGAGGATGAATTTGATTGCTTTTTTTTGCTTCAGGGGTTTTATTTGGAAACATCTGATGAACATTCTAAGTCTTCCTTAGATTTTTGACTCAGATATGTACATTTCTTTCTGTTACTCTCATATCCTATGACCCTTCACATTCTCTATTACATAACCCTTCTTCTTATGATTTCTCTGTTTTTCGTCTCTCCTTCAGATACAATTGTATATGCCAATTCCTTTCTAGATCAGCTTTGTTCCTGCAATGCTATGCCTTTTCCCCCTCCTTACTGATACTTATGTTCTTTCATATGGTTACTTAAACTTCTCATTCCTTGACACCCAGTTCCTGGAGTCATTCTTTTCATAATTGGCTGTTTCCTTACCTACTGCACAACTTTCTTGCCTTTGATCCTTTCACACTACCCTTCTTAGTTACCTCTCCTCCATTTACCTTATGACAGAAGACCTTCACTGTTCCCCTGATATCTTTTCTGGGAAATCTAGAACACTCCTTTTCTCTACAATGGCCTGTTCCATCTGATCTGCCATTTCTCTTCTCACTTGGTCCCTTTGTTGTTGGGACATTTTGGGAAGGGATACTGTACTTTCTTAAGTCTGTCTCCCTTCCTCCAAGACCTTTATTTTGCCCCTTTCCTTCATCTGGAGGCTTTTGGTGGTGTCCTTGATACCCTTGAATCACAGACTGAAACTGTCTGTCACCAATCTTCCCTTCTGTGGTTTCCCGTTTGTACCAGCCTCGCCCTAGCCCTTTTCTGTCTCCCCATTCTTTAACAACAACAAAGCATTGGTCCATGATGGTATTTGGGACCAATAGTTTTGCTTCAAAATATTTTAGGAGTTGACAGTTAGTCATTCCATCTGCAAGACACATGTTACATTTACTCCAAGTTTTTGATCAAAGTGTTGGATAATTTCTCCTGATTTGTTGCCATATATTATCATTTATTACTTAATAATACAACCCAATATCAATATGACTTACTACTTTCACACTATTAATTTTTGCCATTAGGTGTAGTAGATCCATTTTAGTTGTTGTTAAATAGTTAATGAAAGGTTCAACTTTCACGGTATTCAAAAACCACCTTCTTTGATCCTTGCTCTTGTTTCCCAACAGCTGTCATTCATTTCTTTGTTCCCTGTTTACAGATTTTATTTTGTTGTGACATTGCTTAAAGTGCCCAATTTTATTATTATTATAGCATCACACAAGTCTGTGGCATTTTAAATTTTATTGTAAAGAAACATGCAATTGTGATATTATTCACTTCACAGTTTCTTTTTCTGTAGCTTCAGGGTTCCATAATTCATATGTTTTAAAAGTTTTCCAAATAAACGTCTCAACTGACTCCCCTGCATTAGCATGGTACTTTCTACTAAAGAGTTCCTTAGCCAATTTGATATTATCTAACACTGCAGGGTAAATATTAGTCAAGGTTTCTTTAAATTATCCACAGTGTTCAAAGGCCATTTCTAATCCAAAAGCTGTCCACCATTCTAGTGGCCTTCCCATCAAACAAGAAGATGCAGTTTCCACCCATTTATTCTCAGGTACTTGATACATACAAATATGCCTTTCCAAACTTTTAAGAAACTCTTAAGTTATTAATATCTGACTTACCATCGAAAGTCTCAACAGGCAGGGATGGTGGGTTGATTGCAGTAGCTTAAATCGATGAACTTTCCACAGGGCTAATGGTAGAATGAACTCTCAAAGATTGTGGGGAGGGAGACTTTGTTTTTCTTGCTAGTAGATAAGTCAACATTTATGTTAGCATTTCCACCTGTTCTGTCAATACAGACTGCTTCAAACTTGCCACATCAGATTTGTGAACTTCCATAGTAACACAGTTATTTTCCAACACAAATTAACTTATATTTAACTGAACTTATTTATTGTTGAATTAGTGACTCGACGGGAAATTGAAAAACAAACAATCCAAAGTCATAACTCAACTCCTATGAAATAGTCCTTGTTTGGGCACCAATATAACAGTCTAAAATAACATGCTGCTACAACCAGGGTTCAACAAAAAACAATTTATTAAACTGTAACAACAGCTGGAATAAAATTTAGCTATTACCAAAAACACATGTGCCTGGCCAGGACTTGATACTACTGTTAATGAACAATAAAACATAAATATCCATATTAATTATTTCAAATACTGGAATCATGAAAAAGAACCAGCAGCAGAAGAAAACTAATTCCAAAAAACAACAACAACTCAATATTCCAAAATCACTTTTTTATATTAATAACAATATTGAGTGACAAACGACAGTAATTCACTAATGCTGCTTATGAAGCTTATGGCAGGGTATTTATTCACTCTGAGATCACAAGAGTACATCTAATGTAATCATAAATTTACATAATATTTTGCTACATTAACTCTGTGTTCCCAGGTTCTAACTTTACTAGTAGGTAATGTCGCTTTCATCATATATTGTTTCAAAAATAAAACTAGTAGATGAAACTGTTAAAAATTTGATGAGAACACTCCTAAAAGTTTGTAGTTTAAGAAAAAATAAAATATTTAATTTTTATTTTTTTACTATTTCTAATACAAAAATTATTTATATAATGTAGTTATTTGCATTCAGACTGAATATTTCACCTGCAAGGTGATTTTTATATGGAGTATAAAAATACTATTTATTATTTTACAGTTTTCACATTTCATTTGCATAATCTCTAGAACCTCCTAAATGAATATCAAAAGTTTTTTAAGGTAAATGTTTATATTTTATTTTCCATTTTCTCTACTTTATCACTAACTGCCTATTATCATTAGCTTACACTGCAATGAAATGCTTAAAATTAAGAAATGGAAATATGAACATACTATTTAGCTCTTTCTTGAAGTCTTTTGAAACTTGTTTTTTTATATGCCTAATTTCATGCTTATATCTTTTCATTTATAGTTTATTTGTATTTTCCTTTCTAGTTATTTGTCTTTTATTATTTATGCCGATATGTCAGCTGGTGCCCGCAGGGCTTTATTATTATTGTATGGCAACCTCTGTGCAGAGACTCATTTCATAAGCGCAAATTTGGAGGAGTCATTGCACATGCAAGTGTATCACACTCTTATTAGTAGAGAGTTCTGCTGCAAGATGACATCATAATGCAGTGGTACAAATTCACATAGTTTCATGTGAGATTAGGTGTTAGTTTTCACAAGGCTGATTACTTGCAAACCTCTTTGGCAGAAGTTGCGAACTTTAGAGGAAAGAAGTTATTCTGTGTCAAGAGGTGTGTATCTATTGAAAATAGATTTTCAGGTAAGGAAAATGTTAATGTTCAGAGGGGCACTTGTAGAGAAAATCTTGGAGAATTAATCTACAAAAGAGCTCAGATAGAAAGGACGGTGTTTTGTAAGTTTTCCATCTTTTGTCTTCAGGTCAGCTAGTTTTTGGAAGGATTTATATATAACTAATTACACCATTAACTACCCTAATAAAAAAAAACAATAATGGGTATTTAACCTTGCTACAGAGAGAGACTTGATTACTCTTTTGTAAAAAAAAAAAGTTTGTTACTTGATGATAAGTACTGCAGTCTTTAAGGATTCCAAGTAAACCTAGTGGGGTTGCTCAATCCAGTGTATTTTTTTTATTTTGTTGTTAGTGAAAATTTCATATTTACATCTCCAATGATTGGAACTTGAATTGTGGTAGATTTTTTTCACTTTATTAACTTTATTAAGACAGTCATCAGAAAGACTTTGCTCTCATGCTATGGGCTCTGTTGAATCAACCAAGTTTGTGACCCCAAATTTAGCTTTATAGTTTCCGTAGTATAACTTCTAATATGTTTTGTAGATCTTTACAAAATTTTGCAAGCTTTCAGTAATTATTAAGAGTCATTTGTAGACAAAAAAATCTGAATTTTTAATGAAGTATTTTTTAATAAAACTTTCTCCATGAACATATGGAGTCAAAGTAATTACTGCTTTGAGTGAAAGTGATTTTCATGTTAAGATTAAAAATACTTTTCTTCATCTGAAAAATCTCGGATTTCATTAGCATAATCCTTAAAACCTCCTAAATAAAGTTCAAACTTTTTTTTCAATAAGAATTTATTTTATCTGTTATTTTTCTACCCTAACTCTATATTAGGTTGGTGAATTTTACCGACCCCATAAGCACCAAAAAAATCGAAATCACCCTCTTTTTACTTCTAGAATGCTTCAGATTGTAACATGAAACTACATTTGTTTATCCTGTATAGCTTTAAACTCATGACAGTATACATCTGTTTATGTTTACATTTTGTTGTTTTATTGCACTTTGAACAGTGTCTAACTGATATTCCCATCATAAAATTTGTAAATCACTTGGCAAACTTGCAGTTTATGTTACCCTTTTGAATTACATAACACACAAGCTACTGACGAGTTTCTCGATGGTATACCTGGTGAAAAAATGTAATATTGTTTTACTATTCTACCTAATCTGACCTTATCTAGCCTAAAATGTTTCTCATTTTTACCTTTTAGTTACTTTTATAATAATAAATAAAGAATACACATGAAAAACAAGAAATAAGGTATTTACCTGGGTCTAATTCCCTAATATGACTTCACTAAAATTGATAAGTACTCTAGACATGGAGTCAGAATAGGGATTTGTAGCTTGAGAAACTAATGTAGACACTATTTCCAGCCTAGTTTGTTTACTTTTTTTAGAGTTTCTAGTTGTAGGCTAGAAAATATAATCTTTGCATTTTGATTCAACTTGTTTTTGTACTTTTTTGATGATCTCAGTTCCCATTTTTAAATTAACAATTTTAATTATCTTGTTTCTTAAGTTTTTTATGTCCACCTATGGAGAATAAAGTTAAAGATACATATGTACATATGTATTTAATTGAATGTTACATGTTTTTCAACAGTTTATTGCTGCATTGCTTTTTTCCACCCAACCATTATTTACTGAGCCAGGTGGTTTTGTGTAAACATGTTTAACAAGCAACGTATGAAAATCAGTAGAATAAATCACCACTCACAAGAGTAAAGAAATCTACCATGGTAATCATCTACTGTTAGAAAACTCACTGAAATAGTTGCAGAAAACTACATAGAGACAAAGTACAACAGTGATCTGGAGAAATGATGAATCCTAAATGTGGCAGTTTCCAATTAATGCACTATAAGTTGCACAAATTATTTTCCAATTAATATGCACTGGATTTTTTTTAATGGCAGAAAGTAAAGGACTTTAATTCTTCTGGGCAAAATGATTAAAGCACTTGACTTAATTTTAAAACTACTATTACTATTGTCCATGTTTCAGCAAAATATTCGTAACTGTTTTTTCTGTTGCAGCTTGTAAAACTATAATCAATGATAATAAGGATGAAGACTTTTATAAATATATATATTGTTTTCTCTAATAAAATGAAGCATTTCTGGTTAGTATAAAACAGAGCATTTCCGTCAAGTGTAACAGTGCTCAAATGGCTTAAATGTTTTACTGGCTTTGAAGAACTTATTTTGTAGCAAAGAAGAACTTCAAAAATCTTATAAGGTGGAAACGGGAATCAGTTTAAAAATAGCCCTACAACCTTTGCAGGAGTTTGTTTAGTAGCTGTGCATATATTTTGACACAGTATACATACCTGTTTTTACTGTAGGCTTCTGTGCTTGAATGGCTTCGAAAAGAAACTTGGACAGTAATGATGAAAAAACTGAAAATTAATCCTTTTATTTCAAGAATCACAATAAAAATAGTCCTGTGACCTGTGCACAAGTTTTTTAGTAGGTTTGCCCAAGTTTGAATAAAATATTCATAACCGTTTTTTCTGTAGGCTTGTGAAACAAGAAACATATGAATAATAATATGATGAAGAACAAATAGATGAATTTTGATTTTTTTCTAACAATTGAAAAATCAAATTATTTGCTGTAATCAATATTATAGCAGCCTTAACCATTGAGATTAGAAGGTCTTGAATGTTGTTTTAAGAACAAGTCTGCTTTTTAAGATGGTTTTTGCCTGTATGTTCTACTAGAATTTTTGTTAAATTTCTGGGCAATCTTTATTATGAACCATATCATGGTTGATATGTAATGAAATGTGTTAATTATCTTTCTGTTATGAAAAATAAAACATTATAGCAATTTGTCTTTATTCAAAAAGTATAAACAGCTAAAAATTAAATTAAAAAAGATGATGATTCCACATTAAGTGTGGCAAAATGTACATGCTATGTACTTTTTTAACTCCCATTTTAGCTGTTTATATTTTAACTTTTAAATATACGGGATACCTCTTTTTACATACAATTCTTCTGTATGTTGTGTTTTATTAAACTACTAAACTCTCAAGGATAAGAAGATAGGAAGCTGTATTGATACTATATAGTTCCTTTATATTTTGTTCTTTAATGTTTGTGTGGTTTAACAAATATAACAAATTCAATATAAAAACATTTATCGATTATTACATATAGATCATAGGGTTTTCAGTTTAATATTTCTTAAATCTTATTTATTATCAAAAAATTTTTTAAGCTTCAACTTCTAATAAGTTTTGTCTTTATTAACATCATAAAACTAAAAATGAATTAATATACTGAGAAATCAAATCATGTTTGATCTTTTATCTGTTTAAGGCTCTGTGGGATGATTTTGCAGGACTAAAGGTTTTCTCTATCAGAGTAGACTAATTGACTTATTCTTTACTTAATATTTTAACTAAATACGTTGTTAAGCATACCAAATTTTATACCCTCTGGAGTTCTTACTGTTTAATACATGTAAATCTTGTTTCTTCTGTTATCAAATATATGATTAAATTGTTAGAAATTTTCTATTGTGTGCTTTTTTCATGCACTTGAGAGCACTTCTAGAAAGTTTATTATCATTTCATCAATGCCTTGTGAAGGACATTATGTAATAATTGAATTCATTGACCAAAAGCAATATTTATTTCACATGAAACTTGGTTTGTAACTTGTACAGTACAAGATGTGACTTATTTGCATTCACATATGTGCTAGGCTGTAAAAATGTTTATTGTAACTAAGTACTTTCTTTCATATTTGACTTACATTGATACATTTCTGTAGTGTAAGTTTATCAACTCCAACAAGCTATTAATTAAAATGTATGCAACCTTATCCTTTTATGATCAGCCTAGTTTGAGAAATAAATGTTTGCAACTCTGTTGCTTCCAGGATATTTCTGTAAAACTCTGTAAATTTGGAATCTATATAAGCCTGACTAAAATTAAGAATAATTTTATTTTGAGCAAAGAAATGTAATTCAGTAGGAAACTACTGTTGCTCTATTTCTGTAATGTTCTTGTAATTTTTCGCAAATTCTTTATAAAATATTTGGTTATGTAGAAATAATTTGATAATCTTATTCTTGACAATAGTGGATCAAGCAAAACAATCCATTATAGAAAGATTGAAGTTTGAAGAATTGTCCAAGGATGACTTTGCAGACCTAGAAGATGCACTTGAGAATATAGCAAATGAAAAGAGAAAGCTTTTGTTAGAAAAGGAAGAGCTAGAGGAACTGAAAGAAGAGATGGCAGATTATAAAGAGGTAGATAGTTATATTCTGTTATGTAAATGTACTTAACTCTTTCAGGACCACAGAGTACCTTTTAGATGTTAAGTGCACACCTACATATATTTCAACATTTAAGTAAAAATGATAAAAGTAACTCTGTTTCACCAATTTTTCACTCAAAAATATTTAGTCTTCATATTTTGTCACATTTATTTATTTTTGTTCACAAAGAAAAATAATAAAAAATTTCAGTCTTTTATTTCTGCTCAGCCTTGGGAAGTCTTGCCTGTGAACTTTACACCTATTGACTTTTACAACTTTTTTATGCATCTCAAATCATAGAAATTACCCTCTCCTGAGAATGTAATTATTCATGTCTTATTTTTCACATGATTTTTTCCTTCCATGTTTGAGGTTTTATTTTACAACCTTTGTTCCCACGTTTTCATGATGGCAAAGCATGTGGTCTGTACAATTACTAGTGAACCACGGACTTGAAAATATCTACAAACAAAGTTTAAATACCATTGAAGAGAGCATCTTATAAACTATTTACATCAATGTAGAGTAAATAAAGTGGTTTGGAAAATTTGCTAGATGAAACTCCTGCAGGCATGAAAGATGGAATCTAATGGTAAGTTTAGAAGACTTTGTAGCAAACCACAGATCAAAGAATTTTTTTTTATAATTTCTTTAAACATTATTTTCACTCCTGAAAACATTTTTGTGTTATGTATGTTTGAAAGGTATGGAAATTTTGTTCTATAGCAAAACCTCAGTTAAGCTTAGTTAGATTTAACGAGTACAGTAGGCAACAGCTAAATATTCTGTTGTCTCAAATTCCTTATGTTTTTAACATTATTGTTAAATTTATCATATTCAACCAGTGTGCATAAATAAAAGAACTTATTAATTATCAAAAAGAAACTATATTCATCAGATAAAAATTTATCTTGACCAAGGATATTAGCCCGGGCAATGCCAGTGTTTAGGGAACTCGACTCGCATTCTGCGGGTCGTGGGTTCGAATCCCCATCCCACCAAATATGCTTGCCCTTTCAACCATGGAGGCATTATAATGTGATGGTCAATCCAACCATTCATTGGTAAAAGAGTAGCCCAAGAGTTGGCGGTGAGTGATGATGACTAGCTGCCTTCCCTCTAGTCTTACACTGCTAAATTAGGGACAGCTAGTGCAGATAGCCCTCAAGTAGTTTAGGGCAAACATTATGCTGTAGGCTAAAGCAAACTCTCTGCCAATCATTACGTTATTTACCTTTTCACAGATTTTTTATTTTTAATATTTTCCTTTCAAATTCTTTATCTTTTGTTATTTATGCCAACACACTCCAACGTGTGTCTGCAGGTGATATAGCATTATGATTGGCAGAGAGTCCACTGTAGCCTACAGCGTGATGTTTGCCCTCAGATCTTTTTATAACAATAATCACCAAAACAACGAATAGAAAAACAAAAATAATCATTAAACCTTTCAAATATGAATTTTAAAACACAAGTAATACATAATTAACTAAAATATAAAGGTAAAACCTAAATGCCATTTTGCTGTCTATCAAACTAATAGGGATGCTGCTCTCAACAATGGAATAAGCTTTTTTTCAACTTCCTCTCTAAAATGCAAACATCAATTAGCTTTCCTAATTTAGGAAATACAGTGTGAAATTGGCTCTTTTTATTAGCTATAAACATGACATTCAATTTAAAATGGTCACTTAGCAATGCAGCTTCTACTTTGCAAGTAGGCTTATCTGAACTGAGAAAACTTTTACAACTGTTATCTCGGGGACAAGTATGCTTTAAACGTCTTGGAGAGACTGTCTATATTACATATACAGTTTCTTCTATACCAGCTTTTAAAGTTGATGTTTGTAACTGCAAGTACTTTACATGAGAGAAAAAGCACAGATTTAAATTATTGTTTTAGAGGTTTATTTTTAGATAAAGGAATAATAACTTAGATAATATAAAACTTTGAATTATAACATGCTTGGTAATAATAATTTCATTAAAATTCATTGACAATAAAGTGGTTTAATTAATTTTTGAATGTAACTCAGTAATGCGCAGAAAAGGGTTTACAAATGGTGTCGTCTTGATAGGGTTAATATACAACAAATTTATGTGAATCTGACCAAACAAAACTATGCAATATTGTACATGCATATTAAAAGGTATTTGTGCAAGAAAGTAATAGCATTTTCTTTTCTTACAACCAATGGTATGATACTAGTTAATTTTTTAGAATTTAACCATGTAACACTGTAACCAAATATTCAGTATTTTTTACCTGAAAGAAGAGAGTTCCACAATAATAAGTATTTTGGATTAATCAATTTTGGCCATATAGTCCCAATGTAGTCTAAGAAAGTCAAAGTTAAAATAACAATATATTCTCTAAGGTATTTACTCAGTCAAGTTATAATCCAGCAATTTCAAAGCTTTTATCTTTATTTCTACTAATGTGATTAATATGAAAATAAAATCAGTTAATAACAAAAATTCCAAATTTTTAAATTTAATAGTTATAATTATTTATAACAAACTTAGAAAGAAAATTATTGCATTGGAAAACAGGATGCCTATACTTATACAGTCATAAGAATTGCTTTTTCAAGAGACTCCTGGGACACTGTGATATTGATGTAAGCAACCTATTGTGCATATCAAAAACTAACTTGTTACCTTGTACACTTACATAATTTTATTAGGTAATGTTTGACAAAACATTATTTTTGGAGAGAATGGGATGTTATTGTAACAGTGTTTTAACAAAATCATGATTCAAAGAGAGTCAAAAGATGTATAATTATGTAAAATTTCATATAACTGTGAAAATGTATAAAGAGATACAGTATTTTATGGAAAAAAACATCCTCCCACCATTTCTGTGGCTATTATTCAACATAACTATAAGTATTATCCTTATAAAACTAAAATTATATGAGGGATTTCCAATCTGGTGGGTTTGTCTAAACTTGATAAAAAAAGTTATGTCACAGTACAGTGGTGTAGCTTAAGAAGTGCAAATTAAAGATATGACTTCATTTTTTCACTCCTGAGGATGATGCAAAAGTATATATTGAAACGTGTAGAGTGTATGAGATTGTTTTCCAGTCTCATCAGGGTTTTTTACCATTTTTTAACATTGTACAGTAAGTTGTTATTTTAGTAATTTGGAGACTGGAAACAATCTCATTTTATAGAATTGTGTATAAAATAATCGTTTCTTAAAAAATTTTAGTTTTTAAGATATGACTTCATATTTGATTACTTAATATAACCGGTAACCACTTTTTTTTATTATATGTATATGTGTATGTGAACTTTTCACAACCTTTTCACTTATGACCAATCATCAAAATACAATATGAATTGTGGTTACCACAGTTGTATCCAGAGCTTTAAATAATTGTCTCAGTTACTTTAAAGATCACATGCTTAGAATTACTTTGTGTTATTGTTTACATAATAAAGGTTTTGCAAGTTAGGTGTGAGGTTAAAACTACTATGTTTTATTATGCACATTCGATTACTCAAGCATCAGTAACCCTGAGGATCACATAATTAAAATAATTTGACACATATTTATGTATATTCTGTGAATCTAGATTTGGCAAGTAACAGTTCTGAAAAGCATTTAATTAAGAGCCATAATTCATATTTATGAACTTACTTGGTACCTCTTTCATTCAGATTAATTCCTACACAAAATATTATCATCAATAGCAGCATTTTGAATAAATGTTTGTGTCATGACATCAATGTGTGGCAGGTAACAGTTACATAAATTTATAATTCACATTAGATTCACTTCTATTGTATGCTTACATTTGTATCACTATAAATACTGAAAATAATGTAGAAATTAGAAATAATTAATTCAAGTTTTATTTAAACTTATCAGTAAATATCTATATTAAAAATGCCATTTTGTATTTTAATGAATATACAGTTATTAAATGTTGATATAGTACAGTTCAAATATTTTTTTTCAGGATATTGAAGAATTTCATGAAGTAATTTTGAAGCGAGGTGATACAAACCTTCAAGAATCAAAGGCAGCAAAACATCTGTTTAACAAAGTTAACAACATGATAACTAAAATGGACTTAGTGTTAGCTGAACTAGCTAAGGAGAGAAACAGTTTGCAGCAACATATTGAAGACATGGCACAAAAAGGAGAAAATGTCCAGCAGGAAAGGTTAGATATTTCAACTCATTTTTGCATTTTTAATGTGTGTATTAATCATCTGTGCCCTGTAAGAAAAAGATAAATGGAATAGTATAGTGTACCTTAATCCTTGAGTGTTCAGCTTTTTGTGTGTGAAATGTTTTCGGTCAGTAAAATTGAATTTAAGAATAAGCAGTTTATACATCAAATCAAACATATTTATTGGTGTGAGGTATCTTTATATTATCCAATCTTAAGTACTAAAATAACTTGGTATTTCAAGAATTAGTAAAATTTTTGTTTGAAAGTACAGTAAAACCTTTTTGACTGGGCACCCCTTCTGACTGCATCCAAATGTCCTCTATAGCAAGGTGCCCTTAATATAAAAAATGAGCCATGCAAAGCTGGATTCTGTATTGACCATACTAAATTTCTTAATTTTAAAGCCTCCCATTTTATTTGGTGTATGCAGGACATGGTGTTTGTGAGTTGCATGTTGCCATGACATGGAGCATTGTCAACAGGAGGTTTCAGGGGTGAATTAGCTGTATTCTTTTTTTTTTTTATTGGTCACAAAGTATCCAAGTACTTCCCTTACGAGTTTGAACTGCTAAACATTTCACATTTATTTTCTGTATTTATTTTACTGTCAACAACTGCAGTAGAAATCTGATGAAAATAAAGCAACAAACCACTGCTTGTAGACTGTTTATGTGACACCATAACATGATACTCTTGAGAGCAACAAAGCATGCACTCAGAAAAAAGCTGACTTGCCCCTTGCTCCGAGAACATGATGTGTAATTTATCAGCTTATGCATCCTACAGTGTTTACAACAAGAATTCCCCAGAGTAATAAGATTGCCCTTCAAATCCGTGAAATCATTTATTACAGTATATTGTTCAGAGGTGATCCATTAAACATTGCAAGTGTTTGAATATTGCTCATCCTTCTGGGATGTTTGGAATTTAGTGATATACCATACAGGCATATAAAGATAACTGCCTGCTTTATCAAGTGCCCATTTAGAGAATGAGACTAAAGAAATTGCCCTTAATCAGGAATATTAAAGTGCCCATTATAGCAAGATTTACTTTGGTTACAAATAATATAAAAAAAGAAAGAGACTGAAAAGGTCTGCTGTTAATGGTGTGGTGCCGTTAATCAGGGTTTCACTGTATTATTTTTGTACATATATGTTGATGTGTTTTACAAACTATCCCAGACTTTTACAAGTTTTCTTTGTGCATAATTGTACTTATTTTCTGTTAGTTTCCTTTATTTTGAAAGATTAGTTTTCATAGGTTATTTACGAGACTTTGAAGTCTATTAGTGTATACTGTTTTCAGAAATATTACATAACTCTGCATAACAAAAAGCTGTTCTCTTTCATACACTGCTGTGTAAATTCTTACACATGTCACAAGCCTTGAACAAAGCTCCCACCATTACATGAGTCATCATGTATTATGCCAACCTATGATGTCAACATCTTTAAACTGTAGCTCTCCACCAGTAGGAAGGCAACACGTCCTCCTTGTGCTGTAATTCCCCATAAGTACTAGCATGTGAACAAAGGCTCATTCTGTCCTTGGCACTGCTTGTATTCAGACTTGTTTTTTTAGTAATTACTGTAACTTGTGCAGTCAGTGTTTTAAACGTTCATTATCATTCTTTTATAATTCTCTCTTTTCTTAATTTTCTTCATTATGGGCAAGAAAATTCCCACATTTTAAACTTTACAGTCAGAATATTGGTTTGCATTATCTTCAGTTTGATTTTCTTTTACTCATATTTGTACTTTTGGGGCATATGTCCCATTGTCCATTCCCGTTGTATTACCTAACATACAGGTTTTGTTTTCTAACATTTGTCATTAGGCCTGTGCACCCTCCTAGCACAATTGACTCCCTTTATACTGTAGAGCACAATCATCACTTCACAATTTGGCACTTGTGTATAAAGACGTCTTTTGTTTTTCTTTTCTTTTTTTGCTTGTGAACTTCTAAGATATAGACATTTTTTTGTGAAAGTATTTACAAAGACATAACCTGTTGTGGAAAGATATGTATTGTTGGATTTTTGTTTTCCAACATTTTTTGCACCTGCAGTTTTTGTAGCTTTTTATTTCCACGTTATTATTTCAAAACTGTCACTAACTTTCACTTTGTGTGATGTAGGGCAACGAGACATTGTTCACACTAGACTAACAACTAGAATGATTTTGGGTTTGTCTCTGTTTGTTGAGAAAATGACAGCTTTTGTGCAGTGGATGGTGGAGTCTTTCATGTAGCCTGGACCTTCTTTTGAACCTGAAATACCTTTACCTATGTTTCTCATTCATGACAGAATGGATTTTACCAGTTTGTTCCCACCACCTACCTTTGCCTAATCTTATAACCATGTTATCTTGAATCTATCTAAGCCTTTTTTGTACTTTTGGGACAGTTTTCCTCGGGTACGTTTCTTTCTCTCCTTCACTTTGTAATTCATTCCTTGCTTCTTACTTTTATGTTCTTTACATCGTCTCCAAACATACAAGTTCATAATTGATTAGTTTTACCCAACATTAGTGCATGCATGCCTCATGCTCCTTCCTCTTTTATCTCATCATATGCCTTGGCATAACATCGGGCTGTATTATCTTTCTTATACTTCTAAGTCTCCTGGAGCCTTTTCTTCAAGCTTGGAGGTCATATCCTCTGTCTTTTGTTCAACTTTCTTATGCTTAATTTTTCCCATTTTTGTCTTCCACTCTCTTCCCTTTTATGTTATTTTTCCTCCATTCACCTTCTTTACATGTTAACCCACCATTCCCCTGAAGGGTTTTTGAAAGATACTTGTTCACTTATATTCTCTACAGTGATATATTTATCTTCCCTGGCCTTTTCACTTCATATTTGGTTGATCTGTTGCTAGACTTTGTTGGACCAAGGTATCCATCTTTCTCATGTGATTTTGCCTCCATTTTATTTTGGATATGTTTGTTTGTGTCCTTTCTTCTGCCAGAGAAATTTTCCTGGAGTGCCTGTTTCTCTGGAATTGCATGTTTGGGGCTGTATGCCAATGTTCTTCTTTATCCTTACTGGGTTTTTGTCCCTTCCATGCTCCTTCTTTACATATCTCTGTCTCCTGTCCTCCTGCTTCCCCTCCTCTCCCTGAACCCACTTCATATTCTTCCATTCCCATCTGTTCTTTCAGTACTACTAGTCTTGGCAGTGAATGTCCTTTAAGTCCAGGAACAGTAGGGCCCATTTAGATCAGTTTGTGGACCTTTGCCCTCCATTTGCAGCTGACTGTTGGATACTGGGTGTTCTGTCAGAAAGCCTTACCCTTCATTTTTTCCTATCCTCCTCCACTGTCTCCTATTTCCATGGTAGTATTGGACCTAATGGCTATAGACACTATCAAATGGGTTTCTCATTCTTCTCCAAGATTCTGTTTCTGTCTTTACATTGTTACCAAGTAATTAGGAGATTGGTATCCAATCATAGATATTTGAAGTCTCAATCAGTTTCTCAGCCTCCCTCAATTGACCATAGAAATACTTTTCTCACCCTACAGTGATCTTTTGTTCCAGGTCTTTGGTTGACCGAGGGGGACGTCTTGGATACTTATTTTCAGATTTGGCATCATCTCAACAAGGCTCCTACAGTCATCTGCATCTCCTCCTTTATGAGTTGGTATGTGTGGGTTTGTCCTCCTGGAGAAACTCCATCCCACACCCACTTAGTATCTCATTTGGATGTTTTTCAATTTGCATCTCTGCAGGGCCCAGCCTTCTCTTCTTTGTTTCAGGGACATGCCATATCCTCTCCTCCTCTCACTGTGCTGGAGGTTCTCTCTCTTTTGGGGACTTAGGCTTCCATGGAATCTCTTATCCCTTTGGGTCATGCTCATTTGCAATGGACAATCAATGGAACCTCACTCAGGATCCCTTAGACTCCTCCATTGAACTTCCTTTTTTTCCTACAGGTTGACTTTGTCTAGTGGTTCGACAGAGACAATACCTTTGCTGGAATTTCTCTTCCTTCTCCTCATTTGGATTTTCATCTGTTTATGGATACACCTCTGACAAGGTGAGGGTGCATACTTAGACTTTTAGGAGATAGCCGGTCAATGGTCCATGGTCAAATCAGTTGCTCATATCAATCTGTTGGAGCTCCTGGCTGTTCCTCAGACATTGGACCATTTCCTTCCATAGTCTGCAGATGACTTGTCATGGTCCATTCCAACAACTCAACCATTGTCACTTATATTGGTCATTAAGGAAACATCTAGTCATGTTCATTACATTTTGAAACACTTAATTTCCTTTTCTGAGCCCAATCTCAATGCGTATGGCTTACTGCTGATTGTCTTTCACATCCCTACAAGATTCTCCTGAAAGAGTTGTACCTCATTCCTTGGATGTTTCAGTGGTTAAGCTCACAGCAGGGTATTTCCCTTTTGGATACTTTTGCCACTCATCTCAATACCAAACGTCCTTTGTATTGGTCCCCTATTTCACATGATTCAGTTCTAGCTGTGGATGCATTCAGTCAGGATTAGTCCAACCTTTATGCCTACTCTTTTATCCGTCTTATCTCCAGGGTACTTTCCCTTCTTCAAACCATTCCATGTCGGGTCCTTCTAAGCCCTCCATTCTGGCCAGCCCAACCTTATTATCCTCTGTTGTGTCTTTTTCAGTTATATCTTTTCCTCTTCCTTAGTTCTTGTTCTGTTTGTTCTTCTTCCTTACATGTTTACCAATGTAAATGGTGTATTTTTATCAGTTGTCTCTGTGTTATGGCTTCTCCCCTTCCAAACTTACTGTTCTGAACCCCTAACCCTTTCCAAATTTTTCAGTTGGCCCTTTGACAATGGTTTGTCTATATCTACTATTGAAGGTTATAAGGCTGCATTGTCCAATACATCTTATTTTTACCATTTTGGTTGTGTCTTCTCTCCTGTCCTTTTGATCCTGTTTGGATCATTTTGCCTTCTGTGTCCTCCCCAGTCTACCATCCTTCCAGATTGGAATCAAAATGTTGCATTATCTGCCCTTACCCTATCTCTTTTTGAACCTTTAGCCTCTTCATCATTGTACCATTTTTTACTCCTTTTGCATGCAGGTGTCAAAGGTCAGACATGTATGATCTTGATGTTTCTCAAATCCTTTATCATAATTCCTATGTCCTCCTCTATCCAGACCATGCTTTCCTCTCTAAGGTGCCTGCAGTGCAAGAAGGAAACAGCACCATCACCCATATTTCCCTTCGATCCATTGCTCGTCTTTATTTTCAGTCTAATCACATTTGTCTTCTTTTTTGCATGTGGGCTCTTTGTTATTATGTGGCCTGCACTGCTATTTTTCATGATTCATACTCCAGGCTCTTTATCCCATGGAACTACTCTTCTAGCCATGATCTCTCTCCTATTACTCTTATTGGTTGGCATATTCCAAGTTTCCTCTCACCAAATTTGTCATCTTTTCCTCCCTCTGGCTCTTCACTTCCATCATCCATTGAAGTAGATCATACAGGCTGGCAAGTGGACCAATCCTCACATTTTTGTCATACATTACCTTCATCATCTGGATATCAGTTGCCTCTCATTGCCATTCTCCACACCCCTTATCAGCTCTGATTGGGTAAGTTCTTTTTTCTAAATATCTTACCTTTACAAAGGCTTATTTTTATATCTCAGGATTCCACTGAGTGGTGGATGGTGCCAGCCAAGATATACTTAACTTTAACTCCACATTATGCAGCCTTTAGAGTCTGTAATGCTCATTGATGAGAAAGGGTGTTCCACAAAATCGCTCGAGGTTTTCTCACAGTGTATTGCTTCATAAATAAGCTCCATTTCAGACTGCTCCATTTCATTATCAACTCATGGACTATCATTAGGAAAGCAGTGTTGGTATAGCTGACCATCCTTCTGATCCAAGTTGAATGAACCTGGACTAGTGTACTTTTAAAAATAGGGTTTCATAGTCACCTATTACACACTCGTCTGGTGTTACATTTCTCTGGACTCCCCAGTGAAATTATACCCCATTCTACTAGTGGAGTACAGGAGTCCTTGCCACTTACCAGTTCCTAGAAGCTTGGGTGGTGGATCATAGAGGCTTCCTCCTGAGTGTGACCACTTCCACTCAGTAGAGAGTAGGGCGATGGTATTCTGTTGATGTGTACTCTCCACCTACCACAGACCAGACAAAAAATTCCCACTGCTGCCTAGTTTTTGACTGGATGAATCTGCCACATGCAGCTCACTCCTCCGACTGGCCTGTCCGCCATCCTACTGCCACCTGGATGTCAGTTCCTTGGCAATCTGTTATATTGTGTTATATTGCTAGATAATAATGAAGCAGTTTATTTTAAAACATAGCTTTTATTTGAAAAACTTTCATTTTGATATTCCAGAAGGGAGCATCAAACATCTGCATTGGCTGTTTAGAATATGGCAGAAGAAAAGAGAAAACCTTGTTTCCTCTTTATTTCAAATGAGTAATAATAGCATTTTTTGAAACACATTGCAGTACTGGGCAGAATAAAATAATTGGCTCTGATTGGCTGAGATATTTGGAATTTGATACGTAGTTATGGTTACTGTGATCCTGTGATGATTCAACCTCAGCATGTGACAATGCAACATTTTGCTTCCGGTGTCATTAATTAATACATGGAAATGAGCCATATTATGCAGCAGAGAATTATAGTCTATTCAGATGTGTTTTGAAGCTGTAAGAATTATCAGAGACCAGATTATGAAAACAGTCTTTTCATAATGTGACTGGTCTGTCTTAAGCAAAAACATTGGTGCATCAGTTATTGTTGGGGACTGGATATCATCGTATATTATCTAGTTGTTTACATTTTTTAATTTATACTAGTTTTTTTTCTGTAGACTAGTTCATTTTACATGGCTGTGTTCATTCATATTTTAAATGGCTAAAAATACTAAAATAGTCATAATACATTGAAGTAAATATATATATAATCTTGAAATCACTGCTATGTAAGAAATTACATGAAATTGGGAACACAATGTACAAAACTTGTACGTAATTGAGCCTTCAAAACAAGTTAATATCAGTAATATTCATTACAGGTTTGTTTGTTTTTTTTACTAATATAGGGATGATATTATAAACATTAATGACCTTGTACTGGCAATTAGAAGAATTCAAAAAGTGTCAGACGACATCCGTCTTCAGAAGATAGTTGATGTATTAGACCAGATGGACATTGATCATGATGGTGCTGTGGAGATCTATCATGTAATGAAGGTAAATGTAAAAATTATTGTTTTAAGATAAATTAGAAATAAATTAGAGAAGTCTTTCAAAAGAGAAGTTCACTGGTAATTTAGAGATAGAGAAATACAGAAAGCTTGATAGAAAAAGGAATACAGTAGAAACAGTATAAAAAGAGAAATACAATACAGATTTTACTAGAAGAGAAATAAAGAAGAAACTACAGTATAAATATTACTGAAATATATGTAGAAAATCTATTAAAAAAGGAATAAAGCAGAAATACTAATGAATATTGCTTTAGCAACTTTACTATAACAAAATTGTGGTAAAGACCTTGCTAATAGAGAAATACTATAGAAACAATACTGAAATACAATAGAAAATTTACTGAAAAAGGAGAGCAGCAGTATGAACATTGCTGACATAGAAATACAGCTTGAATATTACTGAAAGAGAAATACAGTTGAAACAATACTGAAACAGTATCACCAGAGGAAGGATTACAATAGAAACATTGTTGAAAGAGAAATACAATAGAAATGTGAATAATAATACTGTAGAAAAATATTGAAAGACAGTTATTTTGGAAATATAACTGAAAGAGAAATACAGCTTATATAATACTAATGAAAGATGAATAGACTTAAAACATTACTGAAGGAAAAGCACACTATAAATATTACTTGTTGATATACTGCAGAAACATTACCAAAAATTAAAATACATTAGATGCATTCAAGAAAGAAAATATTGTATCATAACTAATATAGGAATACATTGGAAATGTTACTGAATAATGAAATACAGTAAAAGCATTACTAGAATAGGAATACAGTGGAAATGTCATTGAATGATGAAATATGGTAAAAGCATTACTAGAATAGGAATACAGTGGAAATGTTATTGAATGATGAAATATGGTAAAAGCATTACTAGAATAAGAATACAGTGGAAATGTTACTGAATGATGAAATATGGTAAAAGCATTACTAGAATAGGAATACAGTGGAAATGTTATTGAATGATGAAATATGGTAAAAGCATTACTAGAATAAGAATACAGTGGAAATGTTACTGAATGATGAAATATGGTAAAAGCATTACTAGAATAGGAATACAGTGGAACTGTTATTGAATGATGAAATACAGTAAAAGCATTACTAGAGTAGGAATACAGTGGAACTGTTATTGAATGATGAAATATGGTAAAAGCATTACTAGAATAGGAATACAGTGGAAATGTTACTGAATGATGAAATATGGTAAAATCATTACTAGAAAGGAATACAGTGGAAATGTTACTGAATGATGAAATATGGTAAAATCATTACTAGAAAGGACTACAGTGGAATTTTTACCATCTGATGAAATATGGTAAAATCATTACTAAAAGAGGAATACTTAGAAGCATTTAAAGTAAGTTACTGTACTATATGAGAAATAGAATGCAAATATTATTGAAAGAGAAATACATCAGTAACATTACTGGAAAAAGAATTCCCCATATAATTTTGTTAAAACATAAGCAAAACATTATTAAAAATGTAAGTACAGTGAAAACATTTCTGAAAGATTATTATGGTAGAATCAGTTGTAGATCAAGATTAAAGTAGAAACAATCTTGGAAGAGGGTTATAAAAGGTAAAGATTAGAAGGAGAAATATAGTAGAAAAGGAAGACATTGGTTACATGACATTGGAATACAATGGTAAAACAGTGAAACACTTTGGATGAGAAGTAGTCTTATAAACATAACTGGAAGAGCAGTACAGAAGAAATTAATTTAAAATAAAATAACAGCAACATCTACTGTAGGCATATTTTTGCTTTAATAATTACAATGTACATAAAATCATATATTAATGTATTGGCAAAAGTTATGACGTGCTTATTAAACTCAATCTGTGAAGAAAAGAAAATACCTGATGGACTTAAAATATCAGTGATAAAACCCATTTATAAGTCAGGGGTGAAAAAATGACTTCAATAATGGAAATGTATTTATATAACAAAATGTTAGACCTTTATTGAAAAATATAACATAAACAAATCTCAGTATGGATTTATAAAGAATAAAAGTACCACATCACTCTTAGAAAATGTTTTAAATGATGTGAATTTACAGTTAGATAAAAAAAAAGGTACTTGTGTTATTTCTTAATTTAAGTAGAGCTTTTGATACATTCAATCATGAAATACTGTAATATAAATTATACTTGAAGTGTATAAGGGGAAACTACATAATTGGTTTGTGAATTATTTTAGTAATAAGGTTGCAGTAAGAAAAATTGAAGAAATAGTTAGTACAGAATTAAAAAAAAACAGACAATTGTATATTTCACAGTTGTCTTGTTTTTTCCTCAATCCTGTACTAATTATGGAGTTTCACCAGTACCGACGGTTTCAAGTATCAATTATATAATTATTAATCCAATGACTTGAATATGGTGTTCCACAGGGTTCTGTTTTGGGTCCACTACTATGTATGTTAGCTGTATTTTAACATGGGTTTAAAAAGTAAAATATATCAGTATGCAGATGTTACATCTTTAATTATAACTCATTTTGATGTGGAAACTGGCAAAGAAATCCTACAAGTAGATTTTGCTAGATTAATGTGTTGGCTATATATAAATGAAATCTGTTTGAATATTGATAAAACAAAAAACTGATAATTCACTCAAAATGTGGAAGTAGTATTAATGAAAATATTTTACAATGTCATAATCAAAGATGTAATACTAAATATGAACATTTATTTGCAGAAAATAAGCTAAATAGACCAACTACAAACATCATCTATAAACATATAAATATGATCTGCAATAAATTAAGATCTACTATCTATTATGGAGGATACATATTTTACCAATTAATATAAAAAATAATTTATGTATCTTTAGCAGAATCTGTTA